ATCCTGGTTACAAGGTGCTTAGGCAAACACGGGAAAACAGATCACAAAAACAAAGATCTGAAATATTTATTGATTTTGTTTTAAATTAATTTACATATGAATGAAATAAACCAAAATATTAACAGTTGACAGTAAATGTATATACAATTATGCAACATTGATTATGGGAAGGGGTATATACAGTCAAACCATAATTATATTAATACGAACATCTGTCAATTCTAAAAACTAGGAAATGCATAATTCATAATATCCATTTGGTGAATCACAAGGTTGGATGAATATCACTGTTAAGAACGGTATAATCGAAGTCAATGAAATAACAGCATTTAGAAATATACAGGCATGTCGGCAGCTTACAAACGTGAGTCTTAAAGATGAACGTTTAAAGACTCATGTCAAATTAGAATGAGTGAGTTTGGTTCTACGCCAGCAATTTCACAGAAGGGAACATAAAAATGGGCTTCACACATTATTCCCATGAGGGGAGCTGAACAATAATGGGTATTTTTAGGCGTCATCAACAGTACCGTAACATTTTTTATCAAAGGTTTGGAACTATAATCTATAACGTGTGGAAACAGGGTCAGTTAAAGGCGTTAAACTGTAAGATGTGGAAATAGGGTCAGTTAAAGGCGTTAAACTGTAATATGTGGAAATAGAGTCAGTTAAAGGCGTTAAACTGTAATGTGTGGAAATAGGGTCAGTTAAAGGTGTGAAACTGTAATATGTGGAAAAAGGGTCAGTTAAAGGCGTTAAACTATAATATGTGGAAATAGTGTCAATTAAAGGCGTGAAACTGTATTAAGTGGAAATAGTGTCAGTTAAAGGCGTGAAACTGTATTATGTGGAAATAGTGTCAGTTAAAGGCGCGAAACTGTATTATGTGGAAATAGGGCCAGTTAAAGGTGTGAAACCGGAATATGTGATAAATAGGGCCAGTTAAAGGCGTGAAACTGGAATATGTGGAAATAGGGTCAGTTAAAGGTGTGAAACCGGAATATGTGATAAATAGGGCCAGTTAAAGGCGTGAAACTGGAATATGTGGAAATAGGGTCAGTTAAAGGCGTGAAACTGTATTATGTGGAAATAGGGTCAGTTAAAGGCGTTAAACTGTATTATGTGGAAATAGGGTCAGTTAAAGGCATTAAACTGGAATATGTGGAAATAGGGTCAGTTAAAGACGTGAACCTTTAATGTGTGGAAATAGGGTCAGTTAAAGGCTTTAAACTATAATATTTGGAAATAGTGTCAATTAAAGGCGTGAAACTGTATTATGTGGAAATAGTGTCAATTAAACATGTGAAACTGTATTATGTGGAAATAGGGCCAGTTAAAGGCATGAAACTGGAATATGTGATAAATAGGGCCAGTTAAAGGCGTGAAACTGGAATATGTGGAAATAGGGTCAGTTAAAGGCGTGAAACTGTATTATGTGGAAATAGGGTCAGTTAAAGGCGTTAACTGTATTATGTAGAAATAGGGTCAGTTAAAGGCATTAAACTGGAATATGTGGAAATAGGGTCAGTTAAAGGCATGAAACTGTATTATGTGGAAATAGGGTCAGTTAAAGGCGTTAAACTGGAATATGTGGAAATAGGGTCAGTTAAAGACGTGAACCTTTAATGTGTGGAAATAGGGTCAGTTAAAGGCTTTAAACTATAATATTTGGAAATAGTGTCAATTAAAGGCGTGAAACTGTATTATGTGGAAATAGTGTCAATTAAACACGTGAAACTGTATTATGTGGAAATAGGGCCAGTTAAAGGCATGAAACTGGAATATGTGATAAATAGGGTCAGTTAAAGGCGTGAAACTGGAATATGTGGAAATAGGGTCAGTTAAAGGCGTGAAACTGTATTATGTGGAAATAGGGTCAGTTAAAGGCGTTAACTGAATTATGTAGAAATAGGGTCAGTTAAAGGCATTAAACTGGAATATGTGGAAATAGGGTCAGTTAAAGGCGCGAAACTGTATTATGTGGAAATAGGGTCAGTTAAAGGCGTTAAACTGGAATATGTGGAAATAGGGCCAGTTAAAGGCGTGAAACTGGAAAATATGGAAATAGGGTCAGTTAAAGGCATTAAACTGGAATATGTGGAAATAGGGTCAGTTAAAGGCGTTAAACTGTATTATGTGGAAATAGGGTCAGTTAAAGGCGTTAAACTGGAATATGTGGAAATAGGGTCAGTTAAAGACGTGAACCTTTAATGTGTGGAAATAGGATGTGCTTCAGTCATATCATGTGTCAGCCTTAAGATGGAGGAAAGCCTAACGTTCAACATCTAAAAACACTTTGATAAAACCCACGAGCACGGGTATAGTACTGAAAATGATTGGATCATATACAGGGCTAATATACGGATTCGAAATAACGAGGATAGGATCTTGACACGTGTAAGGGACACAACTCTGAAAAGCTAATTGCCGCGCCTTAATGTACTGGGCGACCTGGTGACGTGATGAAGACTGAAATATGTTTTTGTTAATTGAATTAGAGGCCAAAATGTCAGCTGAAGTCATAAATACAGTTAAAACAAATACTGTATTCAGCCTTTCCGTTCACATCCCAGTGGCAGTTGGTAAATCAGCTGACAACACTACGTGTTTCTATTCCTCGTGGAAACTTCTTCCAGTATGTAACACTTTATATGCGCCTATGTTGTCCAGCACAACATTCATTAGTATTTCAGATATGTGAAAGTGGCAAGTTCATAAACGACCAGACAAACCAGTGATTGATATAATGACATCGACCAGTATGAGAATGTCGACACAAAATCACAAGGTTGACAACCCGATCTCCTCAGGTGCTACAAGTTACAAGTATATTGATTGTAAAAGTCCCTTTCAGAAGCCGAATCCTGTAAAGAACCTATAACTAATTGTACCAGTGTACTACAATTCGAATATCCCACGCTCCAAAATAGAATATTTGTTTTAAAAGTGCAAGATAAGGATTTGTTATTTTCAAATTATAATTTATGATTGAAACATATTTCATCTCAATATACATCTTATAAATAGCTACATAACCCGAATTCGGTGCTGAAAGCAGTCAGTTGTACTGCTACGGGGACTTAATGATGAGCATGTTGGTGCCAGGTTTTAGCGAGAAGGTGCACTATCTCGACCGACCTGTAACACCCATCACAAACACATGCGTATACCAAGGCAAGGCAATTGTCCACCTGAAAATGGTACAAGGATCGGACATTATTAATGTCACTGATGCATTAATTTGGAATGAATGAGTTTAGTTTGGAATATTCCAGCAATATCACGGCGGGGAACACCAGAAATGGGCTTCGAACATTGTACCCATGTTGGGAATAGAACCCGGGTCTTCGGCCTGAAGAACGGTTTAACCACTAGGCTACTCCATTAATTTGTCAATGTCCTCAACATGTCCACTACATAACTATTTGAAAGTTTGATTGAAGTCTTGAATCTTGTAACCTTGATCCAACAACTTCTAAGCAAGAGTCGATTGGGGCTCTTTGAAATCTGGGTAGAAAGAGAATGCTTGCTTGAACCTCAAAGGTTGTCTAAGGGAAACACAGAAGGCTGGCGTTACTGGATTATTGCTGGCCATAAACAGAAAGTTGACTGTTGAAAAGTAGAAACCATCCCTATACACGTAATTAATTAGTATCTGTTCATAAAATTTGTTCACAGCCGCACATATATTCTGAGACTAAGCGTCAGTCTAGTAGATCTAGAAAGGCGCCTTTAACGACAATGCGGCTGGTTTCCCGAGAGTATGTTGTGGTGAATAAAAGGGGCTCATAGCTCAAGGTATTCATCAGCATTGCCTTAACACTCAGTTGAATTACACAGACGCTAGACCTGGATCGACCAGGTATGATAAGAATCATTTTGGCCCACTGAAACAGCATTAAGAAATAACCAATTTATGCTAAAATTGTGCATAATTTGCACTAATAACAACAGCAATAATCATGATAATAATATAAAAATAATAATTGTAATCTTAGGGGGTAACTAAATTACTAAAACATTCACCCTTTGATTTAAATCGGACTTATTTATCTTTTTAGACATTAATGTAATTAATGTTCCCAGTAAAAAACGTCCAACAAATAAAAATAGCTTTGAATTTGAATTTTCAGAGGACAAGCTGGCCCTCGGGCCATCTCAGTGTGTACCAGGTATCTTGAATATGATTGTTCGCTTTTCTGTAAGCCAGATCATTGTATTGCCATATGGACGAAACAAAAGCCCTCCTTTCTAAGCAGCTTTGAAAATATACCCTTGGACATCCAATAATCAGGGTTAACTTGTATGATATCAATACCGACGCCCGTCAATACTGCCTCAATGGATACCAAACTTGAGATCCATATATACGATTGCTATATAACAGGCAAAAAGAAGTCCAGTGAAGAAGCTATTAGAGACATACACCTGAATTGCAAAGGAAACGTAATACCTACATGATCCTGGTTTATCATCAATAGTGCTGACGTACGTCCAGAGTACGTCTGATGATACGTCCGGGCGCCATTTGGTTCTGAGAATCTATTGCTGACGTCATAGACATGATTTATGCCGATGGGACATTGTATTCGTCACCACGCATGTTTGCACAAATGTACACCCTACATGCACAGATCCAGGGCCACGTGTATCCTCTCGTGTATTGCATCCTGCCAGACAAGAGTCAGAATACGTACAGCACAGCATTCCAGCTTATCAAAGAAGAAGCAACTTGAAACCTGATGTGTTCCAGATAGACTTCGAGATGGCAGCTGCTAATGCTGCAACTTCTGTGTTTGATGGTGTTCAGTATCGTGGATGCTTTATATATATATAGGTGTGTGTGGTGATAAGTTGCAGATGTTTGTGCAACAAACTATAACATAAGTAAAAATATATGATAAAATATATTTCCATATATTTGTGAATGTTATATATGTGTGAGATATATATGCAAATAAGTACAGTAAAATAATAAATAATAAAAATATACGATGAAATATATTTCTGTTGTCTTTGTTTTTATTTTGTGGTAACACCCCTGTTAAGTTTGAAATGGATTGGTCCACATGCTTACTTCGTCTAACGAGCAAAGTCACTCAACCCTGACTATGCCTGGGTCGTCTAATTGCTACTGTTTACCTGTTTTACAAGTTAGACGAAACAGGTTGATACCCATGATATACACTGTTCTCCGTCACCATATTGAACAGACGCAGGACGCCCATACATTGTGTGCATACTCACATTGGATTGGACAGTTCAACATACAAAGAACGACATTCAAATCCACATATTGAACATTAGATGGACAGTTGGTCGGTGAATATTTACATGGATCAGTCAATCGGCACAGTCTCAAAAACCGGACAGGGACCTGGAACGCCTGGACAGCATATATTTTTCACTGTCGCTAGAAATACACCTTTCATCCCAGAAAGAGCTCAATAAAATTTTGTAAAATATAATTCCAACACATTCAAAACGTCCTAAGATGTTGATCCAGGAATTTAAAAATTGGGGGGCGGTGGTTGCTCAAATCACCCAAGTGACTTAGTCTAGGGCCGGGTGACAAGTGAGGTATCTGAAACAGTTGAGTTATCGCCCCTGATTCCCCTCTGGATCCATCAGTTGTTTTGAAAACAAATATTGTTTCAATATCTAATGAAAGTTCGTCTAAGAGAACGGACATCAACAGAGTAGTCACATTAAATGGTTTGTATGGCATCCAATAAAAGTACATTGTACTCAACTAAGGGCGTTTAAGGAATGTTAAACTATGTACAATTACACAACGTGAAAATATTGGCATAGAGATGACATTAGTGTCAAATGCTCTCCTGGCTGGGACTGACGGGAAAACATTTATCGACGGTAAGAATATTACTTGAAGAGATCTTCCTTTGCGTCTTCCTCTCGCTAACTGCTCTGGTAAGTCTCTCCTTCTGATTCTGTTGTAGATTGTTCGTAATTGCTAGACTCGTACACTTGGGGCAGATGCTTGCTTCTTCCGGTGAGGGACTCCCGCGGGGACTTCTGGGAAGGTGACAGCTCATCTGTGCCACATCCGGAATCAATCATTTCCGGTTCTGAGCTGTCTTCGGATTGAATGGTCTCTGACCTTCCTTCGTGTGACCTGAACGTTGACCTTGACACCGAAGTCGTTAGTAGGTCTGTGGTTGAGGTTTTGCGGCTTATTCCTGAGAATAGTACAACACATTATACTGGTCAAAAACATGTTTCATGGCAAGCACGTAAAATAAAGCGGATACTATACAAACTGTTTGATAAATATTAACCACCTTGTGTATAATATTTTGGGTCTCCCTTTGAAACGAATATCTTCTGACAGCTGTAAGAACTAGAAAAGGATATACATGTGTTCCTTTTAGTCAATTTAATTAAACTGACTCAGCCAAATATGGAAGGTTGGTGACATGCAAATTCCGTAATCATAACAAGCAAATATTTATCTGTGTTAAAGACAAGGATGACAAGCCATAGCAAAGTAGTTATTTGCTGACTGGAAACTCGAATTATTCGAATTATAAATGGAAACTTTAACATTTGTGGGTTCACACTTTTCAGAAAATATATGGTGCAAGAAATATATTTAATTATCTAATTCCGAAGTTGCATATGTATTGTATCGAATGAAGGGGATTTTGTACTGGTGCTTCGCATTAATGCTTTCTTTGCCGCTTTGTCCTTGTGCTATTTAAGTAGCTGCAGTCAAAACCCGTTGGGTCGAACTTACGGTTGTGTCGAAACAAAAGCTTGGTTTCTGCGTGTTCCCGATTTTGTAATTATGCGATTGTGTCGAACCCCCAATGATTTACGTAGGTCCCGTCAACCTCGACACAACCGTGTTTAACTGTATTTTATATAACACGAGAAAATATATTCATCTTCGAAATATATGATTAGATAAAATGTATCCTTTTGTGGGGAATGAGAACAAATAATTAAAATGCTATGGCATATCACGTATTCTTTGCTCATTTGATGTGAGTGAGTGAGTGAACAGCGTTTACATTGAAGTTAGTAATAACACATCGGCAATTCAACGCTGACCTTACAAGTGTGCGTATAAGTGTGAGCCTTAAGTTCAAATCGAATTTGCGTACGACACACAAATGGTGGATTCACACAACGCCTTTTTGAATGCGCCTCAAGTACTAACAGAAAAAGATTCCATCCGATTACATCTGATGAGAAAAGAGTTGCACCGTCATGGATTCTATACTATCAAACCGACAAACTTCGTTCATTACTATCATAATGGTACTTATTTGTTTGCGCTATTATTTCACAACCAAAATGTTGCACTTTGCTATCCATTTGTGTGTTACGTTCGTGAAAGTATGAGGTTGGCACATTATGTGCTCCAGGAATCGAAGTTCCAATACACATGACTTGAAACTAACGGTCGTAGTGTGGAACCATGCTGTGTGGGCAATTTCACAGGTCCAAGCTTAGTTTCACCCAGTGTGCGAAATAGCCATTGGCCCGCTAGCCCGTGGCTAGTAAAAATCCAGTCGGGCCAGTAAATCTCCACAGTCACTAGCACGACTGGCTGGTGAATTTTTCAAGGGGTCATTTTGTAAATATATCACTCTCCCCGACTTGTTAAGTTATAATACACTTTTAAATTATGCAAAATTATGATGAAAATGTTCATCATTGTAGCAGCTTAATGATGAAACCCGTGCCTACATTTGAGTTCGGGCTAGTGAATCAGTCGGGTACGGTGACACAATCAAACCACGGCGCAAGACCGATCATTTCATTTTCCTCTACGACCAGCATAGATTCACAAACCGGTGATTGATATAGTGAGCATCGATTCACATGGATGTGATAACATACAACCACGTCACCGAGCCTGACCTTCGGATGACCAGCATGGGTTGCAATGGGCTTCTTCAATTTCGGGGATCTATTTCAAGTCGGAATGCCCACGCAAACCTGGATTCCTATTAAAGATTAGTCGTGTTACATACCATGCAAGGATGTTGTGAGATTACATCTGTGAATTTCACTATTAGATGCCGGTGTAAGACATGAAAATAACATACATATTTGACCTCGTGGGAACACAACAAATGGTTGTAACAAATATATGTGGAAACAGCTTTAGCAATTTCACATGGCTCCAGTAGACACAAAGAAGCATTTACATACTGTTGAAGGGAAGAGTTACTGACATACACGAGTAGGGTAGAGCATGCGACATTCTTAGGGCAAGATCGAAGAGGACATGCTTGAAGAGAAAGATATATATCTACTTACCTTTGCAGCGCCTTTCATGGTATTATTTTCTTACAGTTGCCATAGCAATATTTCCATGAAAATGGTCGTACCTTGACGTTTCATAGAGATTATGTTTTTGTAAGATTACTTTTAAAGCATAGGTCATCTGTTAGTAAAAGTGAATGGGTTTATCATGATGTTAACAGCTGTTAAGTCAATGCGTGTTCGTGTGTGAGAGTAAATGAGAGAGAGAGTGATAGAGAGTGTGTGTGTGTAGTATTTGCGCGTGGATTATTTATGCCAAATGATTGATGCTTAATTAAAACAATAGTTCATAATACTTTAATTATAACGCACTATCAAGCGTTGGTTTATAATTTACACTGTTAGATACATTCAACCACCATATTCCATATGAGAATCATAAACATGACGAGGATCTACCTTAACGTTTCCAGGAGTTCAGTCAACATTAAGTGACTTTAACAGCGTCCTATTCTGGACGACCACGTTTAACTGAGTTTCATTGACAGGAGGTAATGAAAAACGTCCCGTACCAATGCTCTCTAACTGAATTGGTCCACCTTAATCTACAAGCTACATAAAGTGGTGTTAACAGTGTACGTCTCTGCTGCCGATGCTTAGTCGGGTTTCAGTTTCAGGAGCTAAAGGCCAAAATATGTCGTACCAATGTTGTCAAATTATATAGCTTTTCAAAGGAACTAAACAACGTTTCATTTGAGTTGACCCCGGGCCACTTGCACAAAGCGAAGTATCGCTATAACCATCATAACACTCTTAGTTTAGTACGGACTTACGATGGGAGGACTGTCTTTGTGCAGGTGGGGTTTAGGTACTTTCCTCATCATCATTGGTGATAAACACAACAAGGTCGTAGTTTTGTTATCAGCTGGAATGTCAGAAGTGTTTCGTGTCCAGGAAGGACAAAGGTTCATCTAGTAAAGTTCAGGACGACATGAGTAAGTTGGCTCTACCACTAAAATGAACATTATCAAAGTATCACATGTGTGGCAGCTTTTTTCTGCGTTTTTTAGTTCCTGTGTGACTAAACGAGGAGATGAATTCCATGTTACATTAGCATGTTCTCTTTACAATGAGTATCGTGTTAGATATTTACCTGAATACTGTCGTAATTACCCTCAAGTTCAAATGTTTATTGAATTGATGAGAACAAGTGATAAGAATAGACTCTTAAGACTTGTATCTTGCCTAAAACGTACTTCGATCAGAGTAGCCCATATGCATGTTTATACACATGTTGTCTATATGTAATAAATGATGACGATGGCATCTGTAATACAAATATTTAACTTGTTTATCAACATATTGGTTTTAACCAACATCCTCTCTAATGTCATCCCAAAGGCGTTAAACAAAATGTACACAAAAAACTTAGTTAAGCACCCCCTGACCTATATCACGATTGAATTACTCCTGATCTTAACCCTTTGGGGCATATCGGAGACATGATTGGTCATCGTGTGCAACAAAGGGATCCTCCTGTACAGAACCTGGCCCAACGGGAAGCTGCTTTACAGGAGGAATGGTGACGACTGCCCCTTCAGAGGACCAGGAGGCTGACAGAGGGTATGAGGAGGAGAGTGCTGGCTGTCATACAGTCACATGGAGGTTACACTCGGTATTGACCTTGAATCGTGTAGGAAACTCAAAATTACGTTTTGAATTTTCACATGTATGAAAATCAGTGTGTTTTTTAATGAGCAGTTATCATAATAAAATCAACATGGATTCCAATCATTTTTTTTTTTATAAGTCAAAGGATCATGCGGGTTATGTTGTCAAAACTAGAAGTTTTATGTACATGTTGAAAATCTATCATTGCAAAAATACGGGGGGTTCTTAATTAAGTTCTTTGTGTGTAGTTTGTCAAACAAGCCTGCAATTGTTTTTCTCACATTTTCTGAAATATTCTGGTGTGCAATGTCTGATTCTATTATGGTGGTACGTCAGTAGACATAGTTTACAGAGGATATTACTTTACAGCATACACCAGCAGGAAGGTATGATCCAAAATAATATTTTTGAAAGCATTGTCACATCCAGCTGTCTGAAATAACTCAATAATATTTGGTCGGGTGTGAATCATTGTAAGAAGGATTGTCATTAGTATGTCTTAGGTAACCTTCCTGAATATGTACTTCTATGGATATAATCATGCGGAAGAAACATGAATTTACATCAGGTTTGTTTTATTGTACTTCTTTAAACATCATATTTAACATTTTCAAAATATATAGTTGATTAGTTAATGGCATATCCTTAAGTGTCGGTTACAATTTAACATCACTGATTCCATTCCATCCGACCTTGATTTTGTGACAGAAACTTATAAAAACATTTTTTACAAATGATCTAAATATAAATAATATTATTGAAGCTATTTAAACTATATATTTTTTTGTAAAAATGGTTTTACAATGTAAAATGCTACCTTAGTACATATATTTAAGGAAAGAAATGGATTTTATTTATCATGCAAGTACTTCTGTTATGTATAAACTTTATCAAGATACTACTGACAGTGTAGATAAAAAATACATGATTTTTTGTCAAGCAACATGTATGATTCTATAGACACACAATATATGGGTATTTGTACTGTGTTTCTATACAAATAAATCTACATAGACTCTTCTTCTGCTTCCTGCTGTCAATCACACTGTCATCAACAACCACAAACAACACATTGTGCATACTCTTTAATCAAATGATAATGGATCAATAATATTATTTAACAAGAGATTCAACAAAATGGTTACAGGTTTCATTTACATTCATCACAGATGTCCTTTAATCCTTGACAGGTATGTATGATATAAATCATGTATATTTCCAACAGGATTCCTCTGGTCATGTGGATCAAAACTTGCATAATGTTTCTTTACCACTGTATACTACTGTATACATGTACATCTTGCCTATAGCAGGCCTGGAAGAAATCAAATGCATTCACACAGCCTTATCAGTACCTTCAGTGCCCCTTCTGTAGACGTACATTTCGCTATGAACAACTGTACACAACAATCAATAACACCTTAACAATCAACACTGGAGAGGCAGCACAGGTAACAATTTCTAGCTTTTTACAATTTGAAAACAATTTGTCTGAAAGTAATTATACAAAAGTATGAATTTGTTTTTTTAACAGGAACTATTTATATGTTACACGGGAACTTAACATGATTGACGGGCTATGCATTACACCTCCCGAATCTTAAAGCTGTACACGTCTTGTGAAGACTTATACAAAATAATGCCATATTCTACAGAAAGGGCACAATAACATATTAAACAATCACTGTTAAATTCCCTACTCTCTTGAGTTTGTGACAGAAATTTCTAAAATTCTATTCGATCCAAACAATTTTGTTTTCTGAATAATTAACACACAACGTAAAAGATATAGCTTATTACACTTCTATAATAATTTTTCATTAAGTCAAAAACTGTCAAGTCTATTTCTAAATGAAAAAATCAAATTTAAATTCCATTTCATCTAATCTAAATAAATTGCTAGAAAGTAACAAAAGATGAAATACACGTAAAAATAGTCTTATGTGTGTGCGAAAAACATGTATATCTGAAATACAGGGGGCAGCTATCACTCTCCTACCCAGAGTTCAGTGCGGCAAGCCAGCATAGTACGTGTTATGTTAATCATCGCTGTGCCGGAGTGTGGGCAGCTATTTTAAATGTCAATGTTCATGCAGCTTTCCTAAAAGCCAGAGTTCTTGCCCCTTTTAAGTCTTTGAATAATTTATAATTATTCCCCCCCCATGAGGTATAGGCATTGTGAGTATTTTCTCAATGTTGTTTTCTGTTGGTGTACCAAATCTCCTCATTTTCGGATGTTCTGAGATTTTCGAATAACCGACTTGTGGACTGAAAAATGAAATAATGGCTCAAATTTCAAAACAATTTTTGCAAGGAAACAAATAGTCTTTGTTTCATTAAAATCTGGGTAAAATATTAAATATATTCTTCAGACTATATAAATATTTTTTTCCATTTGAAAATATTAGAATTCATAAATCTAAAATAGAATAACTATATGAGAAATTTGTGAAAATATATTAGTTGTGTGAAAACACTTATGTTAGTTCAGAAAAAGTGCATTTGAAAAAAAGTGTGCAAGGTTAATTCATAAACATTTTTAAAGAAAGTGATCAGAAAATAAATTGCAAATGTGTGTATAGTATTCTTGTAAGCTGCAGGCAATATATATATTTGATGCCCTTACAAAAAACACCCCACAAACTTTACTATTATGCAAATCCACTTGACCAAGTAAATATTGACAAGAGTCAAAAAGTCAAAACACCTTTCTGTGGAACGATTTCCAATATAACAATAACATTTAATCTATAATAAAATAATAAGTTTCATAGTAAATTTCGAATCAATTTCTATTGAAATGTGTTGAGGACTAATGATCCGGAAAAAAAGATTTCCTGTCACACACTCAAGAGTTATTCCCCTTTCAATATAAGAGAACAGTTAGACAATGGATGGTCGGATCAGTTCGGTACTGGCTATTCATCTATGATAGTGACACTCTATAAAATTTGATGAGAGAGAAAACTATGTTACAACTACAGGTCTGTGAAATCATAGACACATGGAGATATATCACATATGATTAAAGAAAAAAATAGTTAAAAATGTATGTACAGTTAAATACACTCTTTCCCTTAAATAGATAGAAATGGGAACAAGTGTATTTCAACATCGTCAGTTGTGGAAACATGTAACCTTGATGAAAAGTCCTGTATATTTCATCAAGACTTGTTGCATGTTATTGAAGCAAGAATGGTGTAATAACATCATAACCCAGATAATATCATTTGTCACCTCCAATCTTGTTCATTTGCCCTTTCAATAGTTTGTCAAAAACATTATGCATATTTAATTCTGATGATATAAAAGTAATAAACCATTGTTGAAATGAATCAGATTCATTGACACATTATGTTTTCTTCAAGGAATTCTTCCTAACTGTGTAATTTCTGAATTTTTCTGTACCTAAATAAGGAACTCAGCTGTCAAATTGACTTTAAGATATTTTCTTTAAGGAATTCTTTCCAACTGTGTAATTTCTGAATTTTTCTGTACCTAAATAAGGAACTCAGCTGTCAAATTGACTTTAAGATATTTTCTTTAAGGAATTCTTTCCAACTGTGTAATTTCTGAATTTTTCTGTACCTAAATAAGGAACTCAGATATCAAATTGACATGTGTTCATTTCTCTTGTTGTCATTTGCCATCAATCAAACAAGTTCTAGCAGGATGCTGTTTGGCACTTGATGTATATTTCCCTCTCTCTCTAATTACGGCATTTTTATGAACTATCTGACTGCAAGTTATTTCACATGAACATGTTTCAATAGCAGTTTAAATACAGTTTAAATGGATTTTTATCAAACATGCATGTCAACATAAAAAAATCGTAACGTAATGATTTGCTTCAGCGTCGAAAATTCAAATTGTGCATTAAGAGATGTTGCTGATGAAAATGATATGCGTATGTCATACCAAGTTGGAGAATATCTAAATTATATAACCCCTTACACCTAGATATAATGCAAGATGATAAACTTATGATGATATCACAATGATCAACCACATTATCATAACAATCAGTAAATAACTAACTGGTTAATTAAATATTACTAACTAATAAATAACATATCAACATGTTAAAGAACAGGTGAGCTTGGATTATTAACTGTTGTATATATCATAACCTTATGTGTTTATTTTCCCCTTTAAGTGTTTCAAATACTCCTTCAAATTCAATCACATTTCATGTACAGAAAGAGATCAAAACAATGAATATTCTTTATTAATAATCATTTACTTCTTAATACATGACACTACCTATTTAGCAAGTTACTACAATTACCAAGGAGATTTAAAGAATGCAATTAAAAGGAAAATATTTTTTTAAGCTGTAGAAAGAAATAATTGTTTTCTACACTTTAGAAGAAAAGATTATTAATCTAAAAATTCTATCATTTAATCTCTTTGAGCTTTGGTAGGAATGTTGTTTTCACAGTATTTTTCATTAAATTAGATTATTTGTAAAATTTAAAATTTCAACAGTTTATATAGTATGTACAGATTATAAACCAGATAAAACAAAATGTTTAGTATCAGGGGTAAATATTTACTCCACTTGGGCATAAACTATTCTCCTAACAACTACCTAGAGTGGATATCAGCACTACGACTTAACAATCCTAGTATCATAATCAAACAATAAATAATAATGGTAAACATCACATTTTTACATATTAAAATATCTGATTAGTAAATGATAATGCATAAATAACGCTGTAACCTTGATGGTTACAATGGTTCATGATTTGGCAAGTTTAGTATGTGGAAAAGCACTGACAAAGGAGGAAAAACAGTTAGGGCTTTTGGAGTGCATAGTAAAACCCTTGCTTTCGCTATCTCTAGATCACATGCATCCTTTCTGTTACCTCGAGATGAAGCCTTACTTGGCCAACAGTTGGCAGATGTAAATAAAAGTAAGATCTATATACACACCAATGTTCGTACAAATGATGTTAGGTAGAAGTGATCTGTGGTGCAGTCCTCGGATGAGTTCATGTCACACATATACGTACGCAAAAACGCACGCAGGTAATTTGCACACAGATGACGTACGCACCGAGTTTACTCCACAGAAGAGGGAAGAGAGATGACAGGACGAATGTTTTGTTCAACAAACAAAGCAAGCAGAAGGTAGCTCTAAAATATTTCCAGAAGTCCTGAGATGAGCTCAAGGTCAGAGGTTGCAGGGTTAGGTCAAAAGGTCAAGGTCAGAGTTCACAAGATGGCATAGAAATATGGATATGGCTTTGTTCATAACAAAATGAAGTTTAACACACTGATCACAGATGAAACATTCCATCATGTACTGACTGACCCCGAGGAGACGAGGAGAGCGAGAGAGAAACAAAGATGCAGGAGCCAAGGGAGGAGGGTGAATCACGGCACAGTTTGTATGCACACTGCCCTACAAGTAGGTACGCATGTACAGTTGAGGAGTTCACGTGGCCAAGAGTCACACAGAGTCACCGACTAATGCCACGTCACGCACGCCCACAACACTGCGTCCATTAGTTCTTACCTTTCACAAGTGGCCTAATACTGATAGTATCTGAGTTCATGGCACTCGATTGCTTATCAGACTCTGCTGTCGAGTCTTTTGTCTCATTTTCAGGCTCAGTTTCTTTGGCCTGTTTTTTCTCCGACTCTGAATCTTCTGTATTGGATTTGTTGACTGCGTCATGTGCAATTGCCCGTGCTGCTGCTAGATGGCGCTCTTCCGCATCTTAAAAACCATTGTAAAATTGATTTGAAAGTTGGAATGCTGCATAAACATAAATGCTCTTTTATTAAACAGATAACCTTTAATTGATGGTTTGTTAGAAATCATTTCAATATTGAACTCTATGGCACAAGAGTGAGTGAGCGAGTTTTGGTTTAATGCCACGTTTAGCAATATTCCAGCAATATCATGGCGGGGCCACCAGAAATGGGCTTCACGCGTTGTACCCATGCTGGGAATCGAACCCGGGCCTTTAGCATGGTAAGCAAACGCTTTAACCACTAGGCTACCTCACCGCCCCCTATGGCACGAAAATCACAGAATCTACCATATTTGAGATATTAGTTTTCATTTCATGAATTCAATTTCAGATATCATATATAATTAACAAAGGCAGTTAGTAAATTTTCATTTAATTACATTAATCTAAAATTTTAATCTTTCACCAGTTCAACAAATAATAAACTATCAACATCCTTTCACAACCTTTCAATGCCTTCTCCTTCCAGTTGACTTTGTTGTGAGACAGACACTCAACCCATGGCCGCTTTAGCTCGTAACGTCCTCCTGACAACAGATAGTGAAATGATAAAATATGTTTTACAATCATCCTCAAATGTGTGTCTACAAACTAACAGACAACTGCACTATAGCATTAACAGAGACTTTGAGTAATTTGGTAAATCACATCCTCAAAACACCTGTTTCATGCATTATCCCAAAATATCCTCTTCAGTTCATGGCCCTGTCACAAAAAGTGATCTTAGTCCTGACTCCCATACTTTAACATAGAATTATGACAGTCTTAGCACTACTATTGCTTTGAGAAACAGGACCCTGTTTCTTTTGTACTGTTCAGATACCTGACAGCAAAATGCTGAACAATGTCACCTAACAAAATATCACAATTGTATCTCCAAAAGCTAAAAATGCACGGTGATACGAGAGTTAAAGTATAATGTCACACTGATACAAGAAGACTTTGATTGAAGACTTTGTAGAACATCTGCAACACAATCTAACTTAAGGGAAATAAAACTGATGTGAGTCCTTGACCTAAACAGGAGCCATGCTATAGAACTCTGATTTTGTTGCTGTAAGGAAGAAAAGTAGAGCAGGAAAGGCATAAGCCGTCAACTCCATCTTGTGTAACAGAAGTTATAAAAGTGGAATCAAAATAAACAGGAACTGATATTCAAAATTAACAAAACATTATTGATTTGCAGAGCTTCACTGTCAAAGTGACCAAAAGTTGACCATTACTATCTAAATTTCATTAAATACATGCACTTTGGGGTTAACTCAAACTAAATCACATGAACAAGAAGCACATATAACTGTATCATATATAGGTACTGTCGCTCACCTTTATAATTCAAGGACCACATAACACCTCCCTATGACTGAGGGAAGTACTGGTAAGTTTCAACTGAAGACTAGCTCATTTTCAAGGATGGATCAACAATGGTTAACATAGAAACCTATGGGCTCATCTAGCATGGGAACATCAAACCAGCAGTTCTAATCAGGGGCATGCAGATGTGATTTGATATCTCTAAGTGAAATTCTGAATCAGCTGTTTTTCAAAAAGTAAGAATTAAGATTAGGCCAGACCAATTTTATTTCTTGTTTTAGGGATCTGCTGGTCATATTTTTTCATGAATAAGTACAAAAAAAATAATTAATTTTCATATTCAAAAAAAGAATCCAAATATTTTATTGGCCAACAATGTTTTTATAGTTTTTTTTCGCCCCATATAAACTTCATAAATTGCAAAAAGTAAATACTTTAGTATTTAAAAGGAATATTGCTTTGACTGGTGCTTTGTTTTAGATTTTCCATTTTTATCAGATCTGTGAAGTATTTTTTTAAATATTTGCTTAACAAACTTTCCAGTTCCATGATAACAATGATTAACACTATAACCATAGCATATAATAACAATTAAAGATACATGTCCTTTGGGGATGGGGATGTTGACATGACATCACAAAGTCACCCCAGCCTGTCCACCCAATCCATTAAGCCCCCTCTTTATGGCCAGCATAGATTCCTAGTCCAATTCCAACCCCACATGCCATGGGTTCCCAGTTTGAGCACCTCTTAAACCAGCTCAAAATAGCGTTTGAAAAAGAAAGGCTGGAATTCTATAAGAATAGTTACGATGCATACCAGACAACAAGCAGCAGAAGAAGATCACCAGACTGTATCAGGTGAGCTACAAGCCATCACTGCATGCACACACTGTGAATGTGGTTAGTAGATACTGGCTACCTACACACAACTTACAATGAACAAAGAGCATTGAACCAAGAGTTGGTCATCACTCAAGCCAAGCTTTAAATTCTGGACAGAGAGTTCAGAAGATAGAGCAGAGAAAGATTTCAGAAAAGGATAAGAATCTTCAAGGATGGGAGAGAAAGATATGTAATTGCCAGAAATTTCAGAACATAAAGCAGTTTTCTGGGAACAAGATGTTTGGATGCCATTGTGTTGAGAAAAGAAGGAATAAGCTGTGATTGTTTTGAATAGAGAGAGGATAAAAACAGTTAAAGGGTAAAATATAACAGGAAAAATACTGCATGAATTAAAAAAAATGACATTGGTTTAAATTTCAACAGTTGACGTTCGTCTAAATACAGTTCATTATAAGTTAGTTGTTAGTACACTAGCATGACCAGATGTTTGCAAGTAACATGTCCTAACACAAAGCCTTACCCTATACCACATGCATTTAAGCTGATCTGTCTGAAATATGAACTCAATATACAGACACATATGAGTTTATGGGTATCTCCTGAAGCTTGTGGTTGAATATCCTCCAAGATTTGTTTGTTTTCTTTGGTGTTCAATGAAGCACACACAAGATCAAGCCTGGATCAGACCGTCCAATGATTGATATTATGAGCATGTTGGATTTGGTGACACACAATCAACCAAATTAGTCGGACCACCCAGTCTGTCTAAATGACTCTTCCACCTTAAAGGCACAATGTCACACATTTTCCACAATATTTTGGACTATATTTTATATATTGGGGGCATATGCACTCACTTTAGCTTCCTACTGACGCAATAAAAGACTTATTATCCCTTACGACTTGCCTGAAATCAATAAATGAAAATTTAAGTTGAACAGCTTCCAGACAGATAACACTTGCCATTTATGGAATGTAAACGATTGCCCGTACATCGAAAAACTGTCGCAAGTGGTGTTATCAATGTTTGTCAAACTGGTTTCAATCACAAGTTGTGCGTAGGATATTCGTAAAGAGCACTCCAAGGGACATAACTCTATGGGGATCGTTTAAATAATGGTCGACCAGTAGAGGGCGCGAGAGTCGATTTAATGCAACGCTGCATTAATTCATTTGAACTTTTTAATTTAATATTGTGATCTAAATACGTAATTTTCTTAAAAATAAATTATATGGAAGCTTCCCTGAGGGCTGATAGTATTATTGAGAGAAATGCATTATGTAAGTTAGAGAAGTGTTGTGTGACATTGTGCCTTTAAAGCTTTTGTCAAAGAATGACTATTCCAGAAGTACAAACTGCACTAGAATCTGTTGAATCTAGTCGGAATAACAGAATAATCGGAATAAGTTTCGGCAGTAGATTTTCATCTGAAAAAGGGCATTTTCCAGTTGATCTTAAACCAAAACAAATTTGAGCAGTGTTGGTTATAGCCAGAGTCGCAAACAGCAACTATTTTTGTCATTTTGGAATATCATACATTTGTTAAACAGTATCAATGCCAGTTTCGTGGCAAATATATATTCAAACAGGAAGTATATATATTCAAATATATTTTGAACCAGGACACCTGACATGCTGTCAACAGTCGTTACTTTATTTCATTTAGTAAATCCTACTGGAGATATCCATACGTCACATATACTTGAAACAAAACATTGCTCCAGTGAGAAACAGAAATATTACCCAGCTATCACTGTTATACTTGTCTTGCCAAATGATTTGTTTACACTCAAGGTGGTTTCTGTGGGTCCAACTATATATCTATATGCCTCAAATCAATTGTAAATAATTGTGGGTTTTTTCAACACATAAATAACTATCCTGTGAGATAGTCTCGCCAAAATATAAGAAATACAGTATACTGATATTAAAGCTAGGACAATTTCTTCATGTTACAAATATACTTCCACTGAATTTTACATAAAATCCACTGACATCAATAAAAAGTCATCATTGAATTTAATTATGGAAAAAAATATATATTCATTTACTTTTAATCTTAAAAGATATATTTTACAAAACAGTGGATTTTAACTAAAACTATTCAGTGAAATTGGACTTTCCCTACGTCAGCACATGGAACACTGAAATATCTGGTCTTGCTATGTCTATGCTAGGGTACCCGGTGAGAGAGGTGTTTTGGGCGTACTCGGACGACTACTCAAACTCGATCCGCTCGATGATCGGTTGACTTTGTCCTCGAACACTTCCTCGGAGATGGCTTCGTCAATGTTGCGTGCAGATTGCTCTTGCTTGTGAAGTGGGCTGAGTATTTTATCCAGCATGTCCCCCATCACTTGGAAGCTGGGGTCTACGATGAAGTCAATGAAGCCTGCACAAAATACATGGCATTATAAAGAAACAATCAAAGGATAAGTTCTCGCTTTTCTTATTAACATCAGCTGGTTTCTATTTCTTGTTTCACGGATCCGCCAGTTGTATTTTTTCAAGAATAAGAAAATAAATAAAAACTAATTTTCCCTGCTCAAAACATAAAATCCTAATATTTTTATTGGCCAAAAACGTAAACTTCCAAGAAAAATTATTTTAGATTGTTTTTGCCCCATGTACACTTCATAAATTGCCAAAAGTAAAATATTTTGAGGATTTAAAAAGAATATTACTTTTTTGACTGGTGACCCCCCCCCCTCCCAGCCTTTATATTAGGTTTTCTGATGATAAAAGTCTGTAAAACAAGAAATATAATTGGTCTAGCCTTATACATATTTTGCATCAAAACTTTTCTTCAAACTCCAATTCAGGTTTCAAAAGATGTTTTCATACAATAAGTAGATACATCTATTTTCATGTAATTTTAGTGAAACTAAAAGCCTATTCCAAGACCCGATTATAATTCAAGGTCATTTGTTTTTTTCTGCAGATAACCAAGAGTAACACAGATCAAAATGACAATTGTTTCTTGTTTAATGCTGCACTCAGCAGAGCATCCACATTATGGTGACCTGGTAATAATCAAATCTGGACGGGAAAACCTAACAAAACATATCACTCGTCACACAAGTGACGAGGCTGATGTATCATGTCACTTAAGGTGATTAGCACAGCCTATAAAGTGGCTGGGATGCCGTTCTGAAGTCCTCCAGTAAACAGTTTGTCATGATCTCCGTGAAGATCCACATTACCAATTTGTGACTCGGCCACAAGAGTGTTCTTCCTATCACAGAGAGGGGAGAAGGGCAGACCCAGCTCCTGTTCACGGTCACCCTGGAACATACAACATGGATGTCATGTGCACTTGTTGTCCAGCATAATGTAACTTATCATAAACAATGATTCCAGTCTATGTAACTAATATATGAAAGTGTTTTCATCATAATAATATCTTTTGATAGGGGTGAGTATTCCAGCGATATGGTGGCAGCCTGTAAATAATCGAGTCTGGACCAGACAATTCAGTGATCAACACCATGAGCATTGATGTACGCAGTTGGGATACGATGACATGTGTCAACCAAGTCAGCAAGCCTGACCACCCGATCCCATTAGTCGCCTCTTAAGACAAGCATGGGCTACTGAAGATCAGTTCTAACCTGGATCTTCACGGGTCTCTATGGATAGGAATAAAACATGCAGTAATATATACTGAGGCTCTGACAATATGAGTTGTCCACTCATCTCACGGGAAACAATAGATGTATCTGTCTGCATAAATAAATCATATAACAGGAATGCATCCTTGTATGAATGCCTTTGACCCAATCAGTAATTATACCTTCTGTTACTTCATCATATAGCAGATGATGGAAAACAAAGGGAGTTATTCCCCCTTGATCTATTCCATTCCAAATATACTTTCCATATCCAGAGAATGGCATCTTGCATCAGATACAAAACTGTGGTAGGTATATTGCAAATGTTAAGCCAACAGTTTATCAATTCAAGGGGTGATCATAAGAAATGTCCCTTACGTGTTAGCAGGGTACATTGAAAATAATAGACTGGTCCAGGCCAATCAGTATCTGACATTGTTGTGTAAGGTAAGATAGACCAGTGTTTTATGAAGTTTTGAGGTAGTAACTAAAGATGTTAAGCGGTAATGTCCAATAACTTGACAATGATATAATGATCTCTACAGACCTGTCTAAAGAACTCTTCCAGGAGGAGATCTGTCCACCTCTTGTGGAGATCCCAGTCTTTGGAAGGGTGACTGATGTCTGCACAGTGTAAAACTAATGACACCGCTTTTGACTTGTCAATACTGAAATGTACAACATTTTGAAATAATCATATTTGCTCAAACAATATTAAAATAAAGTGAAATATTCAACTATTCTGAAATCAACAACCTTCTATTGCGCTATCAACACTGATGCTTCAACATTTGAAATAACCACCCTCCTTCTCTCAAGGCATACCAAAAGTAATGAAATGAACAGATATTTTCATTTTATTGTAAAAATTGAAATAGACAGAATTCTGAAGTCATTTACTGAATAGATGAAATACCTGATCATTGATGACATTAGGAAGGATATTAATGAAACCACCTATCAGTGCTAGAGACCGTTCATAATGCATGCCTAGTGGGGATGATGATGATTTTAAGGGGGTTCCCCAATTTGTTCTGGGGAGGTAGGGGGGTCAGCAAGTTTGAACACATGTACTAGTGGGGTCAGCAATTTTGTGCAAAAAATATTTTTTAAATTTTGCTTAAAAATTATGGGAAAGTGTGTGTGTGTGGGGGTCATTGATTTTGTACATGGACAGTCCCTTATTTGTATTCTGAAACAAACAATACATACAGCAGCTTCTTGTATAACAGATAATGTTTATCCTTTACATGAACAGAATAAAAATTCTTTGCTTGTCTTACTTTTCTGGCACAGTTAGAAGATTTTTCATGTTTTTTATCTGCTGAAAGTGGAAGGACATATCGGTTGCCAGCACCATGTCTATCACTAGTGTCCGGAACTCCCTGAAACATTCAAACAGTACATTCATCAGCTGTATTAAGCTTAAAATATATAAATACAGTCATCAATCTGTAGAACAAAGCAATTACAGCATTACTTTTTTGCATGCTAAGATTGCTTGCCATAGTAAGATGACAAGTTTATCGATATTCTTCCTTGCTAAGATTGCTTGAGATAGTAAGAGGACTAGTTTACCAATATTCTTCCATGCTAAGTTCACTGTCATTACCAAGAGGACAAATTTACCCATATTCTTCATTGCTAAGATTGCTTGCCATAGTGATAGGACTAGTAATAGAATCGATTTTCTTCCATGGTAAGTTTGTTGTCAATACCAAGAGGATCAACTTACCAATGTTCTTCCTTGCTAAGATTGCCTGCTATAGTAAAAAGACTAGTTTACCGATATTCTTCCATGCTAAGTTTGATGTCAGTTCCAAGAGGACTATTTTACAAATATTCTTCCTTGCTAAGATTGCTTGCAATAGTAAGAGGACTAGTTTATCGATATTCTTCCATGCTAAGTTCACTGTCAGTACCAAAAGGACTAGTTAACCGATATTCTTCCATGCTAGATTCTCAGTCAGTACCAAGAGGACTAGTTTACCGATATTCTTCCTTGCTAAGATTGCTGTCAGTACCAAAAGGGCTAGTTTACCGATATTCTTCCATGCTAGTTTCGCTGTCAGTACCAAGAGGACTAGTTTACCGATATTCTTCCATGCTAAGTTCACTGTCAGTACCAATAGTACTAGTTTACCGATATTCTTCCTTGCTAAGATTGCTGGCAATGCCACATTCCTCTTCCTTCATGATGCGGAAGGCAGCACTTATATGGTGGTTCTCTAGCACAGCCCGGTCATTGTACAGTAATGCCACTTCAGACCTGAAACACAACAAGAGACAAATTTAAGTCTGAAACAATATTCTCCTGAACGAGAATGAATTACGCTTAGAACTATCCAATATCTATAATTGAGTCACTGTCCTCAAAACAAGAAAAAAAACTATTCCCAGTTAATCTGTAGGTAAAGAAAACAAAATATTGAAGATTTGGCCATTAATAAGTCTTGAAGAAGAGAGGCATTAGTAAATTTATTGTCCTTAGTCTATCAATATTTTTTTTATACAACAGACTTGATATTATTCATAAGATCTAAAAAGTAGAGTATAAACATTACAAATTTCAAAACAAAATTTACTGTCAAAACCAATAAAAAACATAAATTAAGTTTATTTTAACTGGTATATGTCACTCAGTGCAAATCTTTTTATGAATTTCAAGGTTGACACTGAAAGTCAAGGCTTTAGATGAGGGACCTTAAAATTCAAGGCCTTTTAAAGTATGCAAGAACCTTTTTATACAATTGGTGTATGTATGGTCCTGTGCATCAAGTTCAGGTAACAAATCAGTTGAAGTTAAGCAACGTTGAGAGCGGAGAGTCCTTCGATGGGTGACCGTGTTTGGAAGCCAACAACGAAGCACATGTGATTCATGTGGTCTCACCTTAAGCATGTGAGTTTGTTCAAACTTGCCTCTGTTCACCCAGCAGAAAATGGGTACCCGGTGGGATAAAGTCATGTGACTATAACCTTGTGTTATCCAGGGTACTAATGTGTTAGCACTTTGAGCATGCACAAGTGCATGGAAACAGGCACTTTAAAAGTGGCCATTATTATTTTGGGTTCCAAGAAAACTTTCTCTCTGTCAATATTTTCCTTTCCACTCACCCTGTATTGATATGGAAATTGTTCGTCGTTCCAGTGTGCTCAAAGTCATGTATCAATGCTGCCACAATGGTTGCAAATATTTCTAAGTCTGTCAACCAGTGCTAAAAGTAAAACAGATAAAAATTGATATCTTAAACATGATTTGATAAACAGAAATCACAATAACTGTTCATTTTAAGACAGAATAATCATATACATTAATTAAAAACTATTTCTGACAAGTTCCTGCAAAATGTGTGTTTAACCAAATTATTACAATTTTCAGTAGTCATGATATTTTAAATAGCACTTCAAGTTTATGACCTTGGTTCTGTTTTCATAACAACATACCAAATAACAACATCAATATTACATATCAAATATAATATTTATCACATACTATAGTACAACAAGAACACTTAAATAACATGCTGTATTACAAAACATGAAAAGGTAATGATAATGGTAGGATCAGCTAGTTTTAAAACAAATCCAGAACCACATTTCCACATCCATGACTAGTTGTATTCCAAGTAGCATACATACTGCAAGCTTGCTCTGAGACAGCACGTAGTGTACTGTCTGTGCGACGTCGGCACCGTGGAGGAGGTTGTGGTAGGGGTTGAGGTACTTGCTGTAGCCGGACTCCAGGGCAAACAGGAAACTCTCCAAGACTTGGGTGTTGATTTTGAACTTTGTGATAAGATCATACTTCTGCAGCAGTGTAAAACCCACGAACTTCAATGCATGGCCGTCAGATGCATCGTTCACAGCAAACACATTGAAAGACCAGTCATCAAGATGCTGAAACAGATGGACAACTGGTGAAGCAGTGGACAATTTATCACCTGCCAACCATACTTTTGGCAGAAATAAAATGTTTAATTATTACTGAGAAAGAAGGAACTAAACATTTGTAGTTACCTCCCTTTCTTGGTTGTAATGATACAGGGGCCGTGAACAGTTACCTCCCTTTCTTGGTTGTAATGATACAGGGGCCGTGAACAGTTACCTCCCTTTCTTGGTTGTAATGATACAGGGGCCGTGAACAGTTACCTCCCTTTCTTGGTTGTAATGATACAGGGGCGTGAACAGATACCTCCCTTTCTTGGTTGTAATGATACAGGGGTCATGAACAGTTACCTCCCTTTCTTGGTTGTAATGATACAGGGGCTTCTTGGTTGTGAACAGTTACCTCCCCTTTCTTGGTTGTAATGATACAGGGGCGTGAACAGTTACCTCCCTTTCTTGGTTGTAATGATACACAGGAACAGTTACCTCCCTTTCTTGGTTGTAATGAACAGATGACCTCCCTTTCTTGGTTGTAATGATACAGGGGCGTGAACAGTTACCTCCCTTTCTTGGTTGTAATGATACAGGGGCATGAACAGTTACCTCCCTTTCTTGGTTGTAATGATACAGGGGCCGTGAACAGATACCTCCCTTTCTTGGTTGTAATGATACAGGGGCGTGAACAGTTACCTCCCTTTCTTGGTTGTAATGATACAGGGGTCAGTTACCTCCCTTTCTTGGTTGTAATGAACAGTTACCTCCCTTTCTTGGTTGTAATGATACAGGGCGTGAACAGATACCTCCCTTTCTTGGTTGTAATTGGTTGTAATGATACAGGGGCGTGAACAGATACCTCCCTTTCTTGGTTGTAATGATACAGGGGTCGTGAACAGTTACCTCCCTTTCTTGGTTGTAATGATACAGGGGCGTGAACAGATACCTCCCTTTCTTGGTTGTAATGATACAGGGGGCGTGAACAGATACCTCCCTTTCTTGGTTGTAATGATACAGGGGTCGTGAACAGATACCTCCCCTTTCTTGGTTGTAATGATACAGGGTTGAACAGATCCCTTTCTTGGTTGTAATGATACAACATGAACAGATACCTCCCTTTCTTGGTTGTAATGATACAGGGTGAACAGATACCTCCCTTTCTTGGTTGTAATGATACAGGGGCGTGAACAGATACCTCCCTTTCTTGGTTGTAATGATACTTCTTGGTTGTAATGAACAGAATACCTCCCCTTTCTTGGTTGTAATGATACAGGGGCATGAACAGATACCTCCCTTTCTTGGTTGTAATGATACAGGGGGAGTGAACAGATACCTCCCTTTCTTGGTTGTAATGATACAGGGTACAGGACAGTGAACAGATACCTCCCTTTCTTGGTTGTAATGATACAGGAAGTGAACAGATACCTCCCTTTCTTGGTTGTAATGATACAGGGGTCATGAACAGATACCTCCCTTTCTTGGTTGTAATGATACAGGGGTCGTGAACAGATACCTCCCTTTTTGGTTGTAATGATACAGGGGTAATGATACATGAACAGATAACTTTTTGGTTGTAATGATACAGGGGTCATGAACAGTTTCCCTTTTGGGTTGTAATGATACAGGGGTCATGAACAGTTACCTCCCTTCTTGGTTTGTAATGATACAGGGTTGTAATGATACAGGGCTGAACCCTCCTTTCTTGGTTGTAAATGATACGTGAACTACCTCCCTTTCTTGGTTGTAATGATACAGGGGTCATGAACAGATACCTCCCTTTTGGGTTGTAATGATACAGGGGGCGTGAACAGATACCTCCCTTTTGGGTTGTAATGATACAGGGGTCATGAACAGTTAACTCCCTTTTGGGTTGTAATGATACAGGGGTCATGAACAGTTACCTCCCTTTTGGGTTGTAATGATACAGGGGTCGTGAACAGATACCTCCCTTTTGGGTTGTAATGATACAGGGGTGAACAGATACCTCCCTTTTGGGTTGCAATGATACAGGGGTCATGAACAGTTAACTCCCTTTTGGGTTGTAATGATACAGGGGTCATGAACAGTTACCTCCCTTTTGGGTTGTAATGATACAGGGGCGTGAACAGATACCTCCCTTTTGGGTTGTAATGATACAGGGGTCATGAACAGTTACCTCCTTTTTGGTTGTAATGATACAGGGTCGTGAACAGTTACCTCCCTTTTGGATTGTAATGATACAGGGGTCATGAACAGTTACCTCCCTTTTGGGTTGTAATGATACAGGGGTCATGAACAGATACCTCCCTTTTGGATTGTAATGATACAGGGGTCATGAACAGTTACCTCCCTTTTGGATTGTAATGATACAGGGTCGTGAATAGTTACCTCCCTTTTGGGTTGCAATGATACAGGGGTCATCAACAGTTACCTCCCTTTTGGGTTTCAATGATACGGGAATATGATACAATATGTATCCTGATACACAGTTGACAATGTGATGTGTATCTTGGTATGTACTGTGTTTTGGGTGATAATTCAAATTTCTCCAGATGAAGGTATCTCATGGAGGGACATAGAACAGACATGACCTACTCTCTTCTACTCTTACCTTTAATTGTATTAAGACATGAGGCGGCACATGTATTCCCACAGAGCTAGATAACCGGCGGTATATCCTAAAACAAATCATCATTCATAATAACTACTGCTGTAACTAAGAATATAGTTCTTGTAACAATACACCAGAAATCATAAAAAGCTTATCTCCATATGAACACAATTTTGAAACAGGTGCAAGATGTCTGCTGTCCATGACTTTTGCCACTGGTCCAAAGCCAAGGGCCTAGATTTTCGAAGCTCTCTTATTGCTTAGATAGCCATAAGTGTCATACATTAACATTAATTTATGACCATCTAAGCACTAAGAGACCTTCGAAAATCTAGGCCCAGGTATGATAAAACTCTGGTCCAGTAAGCTCATCTTGTAATAGTCTCATAGTAACAAACTCATTGAAAAGAAATCTTAAAACGATGTTCACGACTGTAAATTCAAAAGTCTTGGGCAAACATTGTGCCCATTATAATAGCTTCCAGTATTCTAATCACGTTGAAACCGAAATGCCTCTTTCAGACTTAAGAACTCAGCCTTAAATCACTAAAGGCTTAAAATTTAACAAGTCATCCCAGGAGGAATGTGGCCTTCTATTTTGAATGACATTACCTGTCCACCATAATCCCTGCTCTTATTGCATGTGCTACACTACGGAACTTGGGTTTCTCTTCTCCTTTCCGCTTCATATTGCTCATAGAGCGTGTGAAGGTCAAGGCCAGCCAGTCTCGTACTTCGCTCGGGACGGCATCAGGCTCCACCTCACTGAGTTCGTCATCTTCCTCACACAGACGCCTACAACACAAACGGTCAAGTTGTTCCGTAAGTCTGGCAGGATGCACTACATGCTGAAAGTAATATGGTATGTTGTTATCATTGTTTACAAACAAATGTCAGGTTATCCTAAACATTTATCAAATGAATTACATTGAGAACTTGTGTTGAAATAGAACTTTTTTCTGCAGAAAATCTGCCAGAACCGATATTCATTCAAATATCATAAAATGCTTGACCCGATATGTCAAGAAACAGAAATAACTGTACCAAATGCATTGAGAGTGATGTACAGAAATGATATGTAATATGCAATTACTTGTGCATGAACAATGTGCAACCCTGAGCAACAGTCAACCAGTAATCATAAAATATCATTCAATTCTTGTGCATAAATCATTCAATGTAGTGTTCATCATGAAAATGTGCATAAACCATTCAATGTAGTGTTTATCATGAAAATGTGCTCAAGATCCATGACCAACCAACCTTCTTAATGAAATATAATGAAATAATAAAAATAAATTCTTCAAATGAATTCCTGAAATGGACTAAGAAAATATACATATGAAACCCATGACAAAATGATCAAAATAGCATGTCAGTTGAAAAATATGGCTAAATAATAACACCATGTATTGGAGGAAAAAAACACAAACACACCAAATGGAAACACCCAAACATTTATATTGCGTAAACCACTAAAACATTCACATCCAAAATATCCAACCAAACACAAAAAACAGTTCTAAAAATGGGTACAAGTATATGATGTCTTTTGCAAAAATCATAAACCACATGACACGTCCTGCTCGAAAACTCTCCACAAACCAAAGTCGAAAGTCTGGTAAATGAGCTTTTGTATGGAGAGTTACTTCCCTTGTATTTGCGGCCGAACCCCGACCTTTCTCCTTGGATGAAATAGGATCTGTCTCTTCGCTGAAGGCGTAAAACATTTATGACGCTAAACATGTCAACGTGAAATCTACACAAGCCTACCAGCAATTAACACTCGTCAATAGCAAAGCAAAACATGTATATTTCATGGGACAAAATTCTTTAAGAATAATTATTACTTCAAGTTAGCAAAAAAACAGCATTATATTACAAAGAATGTTTCACAATCTGCATGCTCACATTTATTTTAAATGTCCCATTTATACGTTCAATTTAGTTCAATAAAAATTAAAACTTTTTAATAGATTCATAATTTCAAATGCTGTCATTAAAATGATTGATTACCAACAGCTCAATCACATCATCATAAACAACTATATTTGCATTTAGATCTGAAAATGGTTAATGTGTTATTTATTCTTTCACATTCCTAGGTTATAAATTAAATTTCTAAATCTAACTTACAAATCCATGGGTACAACACACTCAAATATTATAGTTTGGTATGTAAGTGCACCTAATTCTAGATGTGGATTCATGTTAGTGGATTGTAGATATCGAGCCATATTAATGTTCACACACGTCTATCACTATAGCTCTTTAAATACAACGAATATGGATAATCAAGTAGGAATCAAGATGCATTCTATTTCTACCCAAATCTACCTAATGATAATTCTCATTACGTTAATTCTTTAATTACATTGGAAGATAACCTTTGAGGATGTGTCATGCAAGGTTAACACACACAGTTGACTCGTACAGAATCAGATTAGTACATCACAGTTTCTTCAGTCTTACAGGGGTAAATCTGACATAAACAATGTTTAATGTAGCCTCCCAATGATGTGTAATTTTTTAAACCTGTGATAAATCATCAATGATTTGACATTTTCTTTTTTTAAATGTTGGTTTCTATATAACCACTAAAGTGCATGAGAATTCCATCTGACATGACAAACAAGTAAACATATATACTGATTTGCTTTAGCATGAAAACACAACAGTAGCATAAAGCAATTTCAGAAAACGTTCAGGTGGTCTCATTGTATTTCTTCTACTACTTATTTATTTAGTGAGTGAGTTTAGTTTTAAGCCGCCCTCAGCAATATTCCAGCTATACGGCGGTGGTCTGTAAATAATCGAGTCTGGACCAGACAATCTAGTGATCAACTTATTTATTTAGTTGTCATGGTATATACTTACACGTTCCCCGATACAAACTATTTAACATATGAACATATACCACTTTAAAGAAGTTAAAGATAACTTGATTCTTTCATATCATCCTTTCAATGGTCATCACATATTAATCATAGTCATTGTAAAAATAGGTGGTCCTTAACTTCTGTTGAGTAGTATATGATCAGACAATCATCAAATTACTTATCCTATCTCTTGTGTTGCAACTTTGAAGTATCGGATCATTAATATAATACCCCTTCAATCCTACTGAAACCTACCCCTTCAATCCTACTGAAACCTACCCTTCAATCCTACTGAAACCTACCCCTTCAATCCTACTGAAACCTACCCCTTCAATCCTACTGAAACCTACCCCTTCAATCATACTGAAACCTACCCCTTCAATCCTACTGAAACCTACCCCTTCAATCCTACTTCAATCCTACTGAAACCTACCCCTTCAATCATACTGAAACCTTCCCTTCAATCCTACTGAAAACTACCCCTTCAATCCTACTGAAACCTACCCCTTCAATCCTACTGAAACCTACCCCTTCAATCCTACTGAAACCTACCCCTTCAATCCTACTGAAACCTACCCCTTCAATCCTACTGAAACTACCCCTTCAATCCTACTGAAACCCTACCCTTCAATCATACTGAAACCTTCCCTTCAATCCTACTGAAACCTACCCCTTCAATCATACTGAAACCTACCCTTCAATCATACTGAAACCTACCCTTCAATCATACTGAAACCTACCCCTTCAATCATACTGAAACCTACCCCTTCAATCATACTGAAACCTTCCCTTCAATCATACTGAAACCTCCCCTTCAATCATACTGAAACCTACCCTTCAATCATACTGAAACCTTCCTTCAATCATACTGAAACCTACCCTTCAATCCTACTGAAACCTACCCTTCTAATCCTACTGAAACCTACCCCTTCAATCCTACTGAAACCTACCCCTTCAATCCTACTGAAACCTACCCCTTCAATCCTACTGAAACCTACCCCTTCAATCCTACTGAAACCTACCCCTTCAATCCTACTGAAACCTACCCCTTCAATCATACTGAAACCTACCCCTTCAATCATACTGAAACCTACCCCTTCAATCATACTGAAACCTACCCCTTCAATCATACTGAAACCTACCCTTCAATCATACTGAAACCTACCCCTTCAATCATACTGAAACCTACCCCTTCAATCATACTGAAACCTACCCCTTCAATCATACTGAAACCTACCCCTTCAATCCTACTGAAACCTACCCCTTCAATCCTACTGAAACCTACCCCTTCAATCCTACTGAAACCTACCCCTTCAATCCTACTGAAACCTACCCCTTCAATCCTACTGAAACCTACCCCTTCAATCCTACTGAAACCTACCCCTTCAATCCTACTGAAACCTACCCCTTCAATCCTACTGAAACCTACCCCTTCAATCCTACTGAAACCTAACCCTTCAATCATACTGAAACCTACCCCTTCAATCCTACTGAAACCTAAGCCATTTGCATGATATGTTTTCAATTTCGAATCCAAAGTATCAATTGCCCATGCAAGCTAAACTGTATGTGTATCCCTTTCTACTGGTGGTGTTCCGATGATTGAAAATAATTGAAAATCGATCAAAAGAAGGATTAAAAATGATTATCGATTGTAAAAAACATATTTTTGATTAATTGGAATTTTTTTGTTTTGGTTTAACACACTTGAATGAAGTAAACTAGCGATTAAATTTGACGAATATTCATGAACAAACATGCGTTCAACAGCCGTAAAGCTATGCGCATTGTAACATTTTAACCACTTTTATTGTTTAATTACAATTCCAGTGTCTTGCATGCGTGTATGTCATTGCCTGACAGTATTAGTTATAAAAAACATTCATTAGAAAAAACCTGGGGAAAACCCTTGAAATTGGTGATAACATTAAAAATGTACATACTTCGATTATAATCGATAATCGTTCACCACAATCCTCCGATAATTGATAGTGGATTTGTTTTCCGATTCCCAACACTACTTTCTACCAAGATCATTTAAAATCGAACATGGTATGAGGGTACTGAGATGGATGTTTTAAAAGGGTGCAGGTAAGAATTCAGTGATGAGTGACAAACCACAGTCAAGTCTTGAAGAAAATGCAAGGAGCCATTAATGCTTAGTTCTAAAGTTAACATCAGAATACAAATCATCAAATTAAACTGATGTCACACTTAAATTATTCACTTATTTTACTCAGTGGAGTGAGTGAGTGAGTGAGTTGGGTTTAACACCACTTTGAACATTGCTACAATTACAATATGACATATCAGCTGAATGTGGAAGGAATGCTTTAAGTGAGGCAGTCCCAGACATTAACCACTCTGTGATACCAACAAGGATAGGTATTGTCTGGACAAACATAGAAACATAACTGGGCCGAACTGGGATTCTAACCCATAGTCTTAGGTGCCCACGGGATGTATCCCCATTTCAGTGGAATAGGAACAGATCAGGACAAGACTTCTTTTTTTTCTTGGTTCACAGATCCATCTACCCCAAATCTGGAGAAAACTTAATTGTTTTCCATCTTCAATGTTCCTGTCTGTTAATTAACTTTAGCAAGGCCAGACCAATTTTATTTCTTGTTTACAGATTTTTGTCCTCAGAAAACCTAAAGGCAGGAGCGAAAAAGTAAAAAATAAAAATCACCAGTCAAAGTAATATTCCTTTTAGATACTAAAAGTATTTTATATTTGGCAATTTATGAAATGTGTATGGGTAAAAAAAAATAAAAAAAGTTTGGTTTTTTGGTAAGTTTACATTTTTAGACAATAGAAACATGAGGATTTATTTTTTGAGAGGAAAAATTAATTTTATTTATTTTCTTATTCTTGACAAAAATACGACCGACGGATTCGTAAAACAAGAAATAAAATTGGTGTGGCCTTAGTAATGAAAACAACCTTCAAAGCAGATGAATGCAGGGAGGAAGATAACTCTGGGGATATGTCATTCCTAATATTCACCTTATGTGTTCTTTATTGCATCCAACCAATTCTTTTCAGATCAATTAACAACTGATATATTTACAGCTATTTTGACAAACGATCCAGGTTTATAAATGCTGTAAACCAATAAATTAATAGAAGTGAGCCCTAATTGTTAGAGTGTCAATCTAGGAAATTACTCAGGTCAATGTATCTGGTGTTCCTTGGTTGTAACACAACTATATTCTTTAAAAATAAGTAGGGGAACATAATTTTTTATTTATGATTGAAAAAATGGGAGATATGTCGGTGTCAATCAATGTTGAAATGATAATAATGAATGTTTTGAGAGTGCATCACCACTTGCACTTCCTTATGACCATAGTTGTTTGTACAGTAATGATGATTGGTGTGTGATTTGAAATTTGTTTGTGCACTATTTTCATTTTCAAACAAAAAAAAACAGCTAGAAACAAACACTAACAACTGTGTGATGCAAGATGATTGTCAAAATGAATGGTCTACAGTGATTTATTGACCTTCTTGAAAAATGTCAAAATCAAGAATGACACCCCATGCATGTGTAAAGGGCTACTGCATTGTGTCTTTGAAAGGTTTCTAACACTTATACTTCCAATCCAATTTGAAAGTTCGGGTTCCCCTACTTTATTTTAAGAGTATAGTACCAGCCACATTGACCAGCCATTGCAACCCCTCAGCACTCACTCAACATCCACCTGGTCACTTCATTCAAGTACTGGTCAGCCCTAGACTGTCCACACTTGGACAATTACACAAGTGTCCCTTAATGAAGTGATAACTAGCATCATCTGCTTGCAACAGTGAGTTACCACAAACAAAAACAAAGCCAATCAAAGTGTTGTTAATCATTGATGTTATATGTGCTTCAAATTCAAGCCTTGATAATGAAATTAAGCATATACTAGCTGTCAAAACAGAAATGTATGAGTGTCAGTAACAACAGCTGATGTATACATCTTCCAAGTCAGTAATACATTGCATACAAGCTGTAGTGTTGTAATTGAGCAATGAGGGATACAGCTATCTCACAATACATTTCAAATGCTAATATTTGACATATTAAATACTGAGCTGCAAGCTCAAGATTGTTGCTGTCTATTCCAACTGTATATCCATTTAGACAAAACTCAACCAATCATTTTTCGATCATTGCACAAAGATTACATCTCAAAATTACTCTGAGTGAACGATACTGATGCTATCAAGTACTTCGAACACTTAAATCCAACTAAATACTGTCAAATATCACGTCTCAAAAGCGGCAAGAACTTGCTCTACCCCTAACTTGATCTTCTGACACCCAAACTGTTCAACATTTCAAAGGATGTCATCTTTACTTGAACTTGCCATCCTGGGAGGCTCCCAAGATGCGCTGCATCAATTTAAAACAGATAAATTGCAAATTTTTCTTTAGAAATGTTTTCTTTAAAATAAATGAATATGTTATGTTTTCTTTAAAACATCATGACTAGACATGACAGAGGATGAATTTGATTTGTTGCAGAAAAATATAGGAGAACCAGGATGTCAACATTTGAACATTTTGAGAGAACTGTGAGAAAATCAACTTACACTTGAGATAGATGTATCCCTACAATATATCTGTGATTACAACAATAAAAAGTGGTATTAGTTCTTTTAGCAAAATGTGTCTTATTTTTTAATTACCGAACTGTGGCTGGTTGTTTTTTGCTGTGAATAGAAAAATCACTGCAGAATGAAGAACTTAAAACACAGCCATGCATATGTTTTTAACAAGATAACTATGATTTCTTACTAGAACATTCATCAAATTGGATGTTTCAAAGATATTTACATTTTATTAATAGTCTCAAAACACCAGGTGTGTACTTTCTTTTGTACATCAGTATAGTTGTGAATATTCAGGAAGGCAATAAGCACCTTGTAGCCATCTACCCCGTTTCACATCGCAGACTTTGTCCCTACGACCCCTCACTAACACATAGGGATCATCCTGTTTACTATAGATGGTAGATTAAACAAGCATGAAAACATTTGATATGCACTTTTCTTGAGATCTAGGTTAATATGAAATAGTTGGAAAATGACATTATTTCAGAAGGGTATAATATCCACTCTGCAATGATGAAATGATCTTGTACTTATGTTGTGGAGAGTGGGATGACATTTGTACTGGTGGAAACTCCCTGTGGCTAAAATATCCTAGGATAAAATATCTGAGGATAAATACAGTCAAGGACACATTCTCAGGGGATGAAATATCGTGTTACACAGTCTCATGAGTAGCAAAAATGCAGATAACCTTTTATTGGGTCTTAACTTTTCTCTTTAGGTTTGTTTTCCCTATATTTGCTGCATGTTCATCATTAACCAGGAATGTGATAAAAGTGATTCATATCTTTTTACTTGACTTTGATGACAGGTAGGCAAAGAAATATGTCAAAAAGATAGAATCTTGGAATCTTCTTGTATCTGTCTAGTTTAATTAAACTTAAATATCTTTCAAATGTAAAGTACAAACAGGATGACAATAACACAGAAAGGTTAAGTGTACAGTATTTCTATCCCAGAAACCTGTCAAACTTTATTTTATCATCATTCAAAACTGGCTGACGAGGAGCAAAAGAGGAAACATGTCAGATACTGATGGTACTCTGAGTACCACATTGTGTATTTGAGCTGGTTTCCTCACTTTCATGAGCTTTTGGAGCTACATGTGTAGTAATGTAAGTGAACAGAACAAAGTTGAAACACTCTTGTTGGGTAGCTATAATCTGGATATATATCTATTTCTGTTTCAGTCACTTGATGTGAATCTTAAGTAGACTGAACATTGAGTATCTCGCAAACTTTGTTTAGTAAAACCAGATGCTGCTGAAGGTGGATAGGGAACCATGGTTAGACAGGGGTCCAAGAAGAGTGTTGTGTGGTGGATCTTAGCTATAACTTATGGGCTTGCAGTGCTAGGCTTTGTAGAAACACGGCTGCTTAGTTGTTTAACGCTGCACTCAGCAATATTCCAGCTTGATGGCAGTGGTCTGTAAATAATCGAGTCCGGACCAGACGATCAGCAACATGAGCATCAATCTACACAATTGGGATACAATGATATGTGTCTACCAAGTCAGCAAATCTGACCACCCGATCCTGTTAGTTGCCTCTTATGACAAGCATGGGTTACTGAAGATCAATCCTTAACCAGGTTGTAGAAACATGGAGCTAGTGGGATAGGGAATCATGGTTAAACTGAAATCAAACTGGAAGAGCTAACAATAAACTTATCAACATTAAACAGTAAACAAGATGCCATCCTGTGTTCCTGACACTGATGATACTGTCAAACCATCTCCTTGTCAGTCATGGATCGTTCTAAAAACATCCATCATTGCCAAACTAACACGTCAGTCCATCTTTTAAAGTGCAGAATATATTTGTCTATTAAAATTAACTTCCAGTTTCAACAATCTTACAAATATACAGTAGTTTCTAATATTATCTTCCCATTTCAACAATCAATACAGTATTTCAGTTTCTCATTCAGATATTTCCTTTGCAAAAAGACATTAGAAAAATTTATAACACAATTAAACATAGATTATTGGACACATCTAAACAACACATTTGTGTGTGGTAGTATCATGAAATTGTGATTTAGGAATATGATATTCCTTGTTTATACAATTGAGATTCCTGTTTTAGATTTTAAACTCTGCATAATAGAGATGAAAATCATGAATGTAAATTTTGAAAACTACTTATTTTTTAAGAAACACATAATAGTGATTCTCATTGTCATATGGGTAAATGGTTAAATCTTCCCTCACTTATACACATTTAAAATACTTATATTTGAAGAAACATGATATTGTGATTGTACATACATTGTCATAAGGGTGAATGGTTAAATCTTTCCAAATCTATACACATTTTAAATACTTCTATTTAAAGAAACAAGACAGGTTGCTGTTGTACTTGAACTGTGGTATGTATTATTGGTTAGATCCTCCACCTTCAGAACAGAATTACTGACACACAGGAGGCAGTGTCCTCTCACTTCAAAATTCCATTCCAAGATGATAGAACACCTAACTTAGACATGACGTCTTCAAGATATGTACGAGTGAGTCAGTGTTTAGTCCAGCAAGGTCTTGATAGTCTATTTAGGGAGGTGACAATGACAATGAAATAACACAGAATATTAAATGTGTGAAGTTACTTTGAGGAATCTCTACAAGACTTTCAAAACAGAACATTGCCACATACATTTCTCACTTGTGCCTTAGTGTTTGTTTTCATGGTTTATTTCAGACTTTGTTTTTTAAGATGTTTGATTCACATGATTATAAAATTTACTTTTTGAGGATAAAATGGTTTTTAGATTTGATAATGTGGCACGTTTCTAATTGTGTATGTGTGGTGATAAAACAAAATGCCTTTAATATAATTACACATCTTCCCAATTCATATTCTTTCAAAGTAATTGTATTTTATTTCCTGAAATATACAGTAATCTGTAACTAACACCATATCTACAAAGATAGTGACGTACATTGCTTTTGATCTAGATAAATTTGCTAATTAGGCCCATTCATTAACACTAAGATCTGCCAAAAATAACTTCTAATGACATGTCGAGTCAGATCTAGTTGACAGAACAGACTTAGCTATAGATGTATATGTTTAATTTGTGTACAGTGTGATTTGACACAAGTGTGTTTATATTTATGTCCATTTTAGTCCCCCTAGAAATGAGTAAATTATTGAACAACAAAAATAATGTCTAATGGCATGTCGAGTTAGATCTAGTTGACAGCACAGACTGAGCTATAGATGTATATGTTTAAGCCTGTGTATAGTGTGATTTGATATGTTTATATTTCATTACTATTTTAGTCTCCCAAGAAACAGGAAAATATTGAACACGTAAACGTCATCAATCAAGTCTTGCAATATGTGCAGTGTCACCACAATGCAGCATGGGGGTAGCAGCAATATACATATTTAATACTTAATGTCATTCACAAACTCTCCCTCACAACATCTCTCTACACATGCAGCAGCAAACAACGGTCTAGAACCAGCACAAACCTTCAAATATGATATCTAATCACACTAGAAACTGATGACGCTGACAATGGAATTATGTTAATGGTGTTAATAGTGAAATTGGCATGAAATTGACGATGTTAATTGCATATCAATCATGGTGACGAGGACTAACACATACACAAGGGTGAAAAACATACATCAAAGACTGGTTCTTCAAACAGGGATGAAAACAGCGGACGAATGAAAAAACAGACTGTGTTTCTTTATTTTTAGATCGGACAAAAATCGAACACATCCTTCACAGGCTCCAGACTTGCAAATGAAGATGCTGTTGTGGATGAGATTTTTTTTCTCATATGACAACAATGATGTCGCATTTGCATGATGAAAAATATATACAAATCTACAACCAAAATGTCAACACCATGCTAATAACAACCCCAATAACAGTGAAACATCAGAGGATGGTAAATATACTCTTTACAAAAAGAGAGGGATGTGTAGGATTTGACACATTTTGGCAAAGAAATGTTATTTTAGCTTTTGAAATGTGCAAATGCATGATGTTTTCAGAAAGAAACCAGAATAAAACACCACTTTGCGGAATCAAATTGCCAAATTTTCTTTTTTTTTCATCAAAGCAGCAACATTATTTCATGCAGGCGCATGATTTACTTTTAAATTCCTTAAAAAGATAACCTCATAAAATTCAGCGAATTTAACCCTAACTGAGTGATCACTGCCTCACTAAAGCAGTATTAGGTTACCTTTTTCTGATGTTAAAAAGATGTTCTAACATCAATTGCTGATTCATGACACACATCTTAAATTGCATCACACAACTTTGTGAACAATCCTTTAAAATAGCTCCACAATTCAATTTTACAAATTAATATTTTTAAAAATCTCTGATGTTTCAAAGTCGATGGACAGTATATTCTACCAGCGCAGACTAAGTGCAGTTCTACGTGCGGTCGTAACATACCTCTCCAAGGTCGCGGGTCTGCGATAAATCAAATCAAGTAATTATTCACCTCATTTATATTCATATTTCATTATGCTATTTTCATATGTCAAAACAAACTAATAACAGGAATTGATATCCTGGAATTCAAACACAACAACCATCAAATTAGACACAAATCAATTGGTGGAAAGAGGAGCCAAAATAATTTTGTTAAGTTTTATAACAAAATTATATTTTCAGGACTTCAAACTATTTTTCATTCATTGTCAAACAATTTTTAAACAAAAATCAGAAAAAGCCTTTTTACCAGAATATTGTTCTCTTATACCACATATTTAAACTGCATCATGGCAACTGGATTGTTTCTGGTCCAGGCAAACAATTAGTTGATATGATGATCAACTATCAATGCTGTCATGGATCAAAAACACAAATTGAGCCAGGGCAATCACTGTAGACACATCCAATCACGTTGTCACTAGTTAGCTGTTCATTGCGTATCAGCGCAATGCCTGCATGCCTCTACCGTACATCGGAAAATAGAAATTCAGAGGCCATTCATTACATTATGAAAGTGTCAGTATCATGACCAACTGCTACAAGCTTCCTCATTAACTATAATCAATGAACCATTTAAAAACTTATAAAAATATTCTCAGTCTGTTAATATGAGCTAGTTCATGATCATTCACATGGAAATACAAAATGACATAAAATGAACTAATTTCCTACCATATGCCACAATACATGGATCTGACATAATGTAATACATGTAGTTTCATACTCCCAAATAACAATTAGAACTGTTGGAACATTCCAGACTTGTAGAGAGAAACATTAAGCATTAACAGACCAGCGAATGACCCAATACATCTGTGGTTAATACCTTGCAACACTGAAAGTACTCCCTTTAATCCCTTTACAATTACTAAATATCCCAGACAAATTTAACACAATTTACATAAGAATAAACCATTGTTCTTAAATGGTTCTAGCATCTACATACAAAGATACCTTTGTGTTGTTGATTGAAATAGACACATGTATGTTGCAGTCCGCACTGATACACGTACATGTACTACGGACTTAATGAGTGTTGTAAAATATGACAATGACATTAGTATGTATGCAGCCTTGTTCCAGGCATATCCAGGAAGCAGGCCATCACCTAAGATTCGAGACAGTGATCTATCAGCACTTGACAAGATACTGGTTTTCCTGAAGGCAAGAAGCGTGTATTTTCATCTAAAGGGTGTCACTTTAGAACTAGCCGTAGCCAACCTCACAGCGACAGATGTTTGATTATGGTGAATATCAATAATTGTATAACTCTGTATCGGCTGGTTATATGTAAAACATTTGCCTATCATGAAACCCTGTCAAAGATATGAGTCTATCACGCCGTCTACTGTATAATCTGAGGGGATGTATGATCACATTCAGGTCGTCAATATCAGAAACGTCAATTTCTTGATTTGCCTATCAACAGATTATGAATTATATTCATGATGAGTGATGAAACATACAACAGTCACAATAAAGTGATCATCTTGTCTATGTATCGACAGCAATGTCACAGTTCAGAATGAATATTCATAAGTAAAGTGCAATGACTTTACGTTCCCCGATACCATCACAGAGAGTAAGTGAGTGAGTTAAGCTTGTCCGTTTTGAATAGATTTTTAAACAGGACTCACTAATTCTTTAACTTTATCAGTATCGTGAAGAGCGTTATTATGAGGGATGACTGTAATTAGGGTTAAGCTAAGACCCTTTTGACTATCATGCCTAAGTTAACGGTAATGCTAAGTTTTAGCACCACATGTCTGCAAGTGGAGGAAGTGGAGATTCATACAAGCATTGGGTATTGTGGAGGCAAACCTGAAAACAAGGACCTTTGGGATTCAAAACCACATGAATTCTGTACTGCACATTGCAGCAGCTTAGACATATGAGGCGCCTATGGTCAATTCACTACCAAAGTTCTGTGATTGGTTCTAAAAATAGATACAACGTGTGGGCTTAAATTAATTCTAATTTTCACTAGTCTTAAATTTCAACCTACTTAAAATCAAGGGTCCTGGATCTAAATCTTTAAAGTTTCACATTTGCTCTATGACAAAGACCTTGGATAATTTCAAAAACTGCTGGGCAGCAAAACATGACCACAATTTGTTTTTCTATAATTTATATTTCTAAAAGGATCTAGATCCATATCAAATCAAAATTTATAGTTAGCTACCCTAATATCAAATGAATCAATTCTTAAAACTAGAATCACATTAATATTTGTCTAAGTCCATGTATATTTATACCATCAACCATTCCTCCATCTCTTCTCCCAACATCCCAGTATCTGATTCTTGAAGCAAACCACTCAGAATGGTCAGCTTGTAGCTGGACTTCTGGATATACACACAGCATGGTCATTTGTTTGGATGGTCAAATCTTGAGTCCACACGCTTCAGGAAATTAGAATACCCACTTCCAGATCGTTTCAGCAAATCACAGGATATTAGGACCCTCACCTTTCCCCGACCAAACTACGGACATGTTTGGACACAGTACCAGGAGGAATGGAAAATCAACAGAATTGGGGTCGGACCTGGTGTCAAGTCGGCACTTGATGAGTTTGTCAGGAGTGCTAACTAATGGGTATTTGTTATCTTCATGGCTACAAGTGGGATGTCGGATATAATCTGGCTCAGTAGCCAGATTCTTATGATGGCCATGCTACCCACAAACCATTATTTTTAGGTAAAGATAGCAGAATGTCCTTGAGACAGCCAATACAGTCTTAAAAGTCTTTTTTATCAGCAGACAAGAACATATTTATCAGTAACATTCACAATATTTTGTGGCCAATGAAAGCCAATATATTGGGGGGGTTTGTATGAGAATTTAAAACTGTGGTATGTGAATTAAGCGATGAATAAGTAACTCATGAAACAGTCTGCAATTAAAGCATGTGTCCAAAGAGAGTCTAGCAATTTCATATAAGTCTATTACATTTACTTAATAACAGTCAGTATAATAATGATAATGATAATAAAGTAAGATTACAGCTGAGTTTAGGCTAGTAGACTCAAAAGTTATTTTACACAGGCCAATAAAATAGAAAATACTTTCTTATACAGACGCCATGGATTCCAGAACTTTTAATCATTATTTAATTCTAACTTTTGCAATTGTTAAGCCAAAGAATATTATTCATATGTTAACAGCAACTATGTGATTTTATTCATAATATTAAATATATATCCTGGATATTTGAAATGTAAAGCTTGTTTTAAAACAAATCAGGCTGAGATCTGAATGTTGGTGGAGTGACCACATATTTCACATACACTATCCTTAGCTGGATTATTATCCCACTTGATCCGGTGGATCATCTGATACACCATCACACTCCCTATTTCACTAATGTTGTTGGGCGAATGATGGAAAAGCTCTCTAACAGTTCGATAAAGCCATTCAATTATGACAAACATGTGCAGAGGCTCATGGGAACCGAAGTTGAGCGAGATTTCTGCCCTCATTAATTACATGATGTCCATTTGAATGCAACATACACTGAATCTATGAATTCTCTCATGCCATGGAAGTTCTTGCACACATTAATGAGAATATTCCGAGAAGGGGACATGACCCTTTTGTGGTTCCTATCGCACAGTCGTTATTAGGTTTGGTGCTGTAAGCAGATCCCGCTGGTCAGTAGTAGAACCTCGCACATTCGATAAAGGACGCAAATTAATTAGATTGGCTCAATCGCGAACTATCGACAAAGTCCAAAATACTGCAAGAGCTTTCGTCATACTTAAAAGAGCACACAGCTTGTTTGGCACTCTGTTCAACATCCTTCATTATACCTTCTAGTTGGGTGAATACTCTCCAAGAAATTTCTAATTTCATTTGTTCAGAGTTATAAACAGTCACTAAATATGTCTGAAATAGAATTTGTCCCTTAAAAAGCACAAATCTTTTAGAATGTTACTTTGGTTTCTGAAAGCCTTTTTCAAATGATTGATGAAAAGACATGGAACTTATGGCATTTTCTCTAACCAAATGATCCACTTGGTACAACAACGTGTTTTATTTGAGACGCCTCATTTATTTTAAGCTAATCTTCACATTTTGAGATGAAGAAACTATTTCATGGAACAGTCACCTCTATTTTCTAAGTCTTGAATTCTTGATTTGTTTTTCAAAGACATTAATATGTCAGTAAAAATGGAAAAGCTGAAACAATAATTGGGTAGAGAAGCAGAGGACTATCTGAACCAGAGTGCCGGCAACGGTGCCGGTGCCAAAATGGTAAAATAGTACAGCATACAGATACTGTACATTGATTGCAAGGGTTATAACTGCTCTAACTGATTGTTTGTAACAAAAGTTTGTTTTGAAAGTAAACAATGGCTTTATACCATTTTTAAACTACACCTTTTTAGTTCATCAAAGATGCCTGAAATATTTTTCATTTGCTCATCTATCAAACAAACTTGAAATTGTTCTTAACACTGGACAATGTGAAAACATATAAGCAGGATCATAAGATGAAGTCTACACAATAGCAAACCAGTACGGCAAATACTGGCTTTGGTCAAACATTGCATCAAGGCCATAGTCACAGATCAAGAGTAGATGGAATGATGCTAATTTAAATAGTATGACTATGATCTCAAGTAGATAATAAACATTTCTCAATGTCATACATCAAACATCAAAATGAACACAAAATGTTGACAGAAAACTTTGGAGCCTGGTCTGCCACTTTAAACCACTAGTCTGAAGACCGAGTCTAGTAAATATATGTTCAGTCTAGTAAGATCAGTCACCACAAGTTCAAATATATAGATAAAGGGTCACTGAAAACAATAGCATGACCATAAAATGTTTGATTTCCCATATGTATATCTAAATGTGTAGATTTTCCCAACATGAAAACTTATATCATTTGTTGAATGAACTTGAGATGATTTATTTTTATTTAAGATCTGAAAGATCATTACATCCTGCTGGCCTGTGGCAGAGATACTAGTCTGAGCGCAAGGAACTCTGGGTAGGAGAGTGGATCAAACCTGGAAGTCTCTCTTATTTTGGTTCACATGTATTACATCATCAAAAGTGATGATGTCAATGTGTTGTTGCAATAACAACAGCCAAAGTTGTATCCCAAATATTTATCCAACATTTTATTGAAAGTAAATTTTTCATTGACTTAGTTGATTGTTTTTTAAATACAGGTTTCATTTTGTGTAAGATGGCAAGAAAAGAGAAATAGAGAAATCAATATCAAATCAAACTGTTGAAGATTTCATGATGAACAGACAAAAGATAATATTGCGATGAGCAAGGGTTGAAGCTGGAAATTTGTTTTGATTTACAACAGTCTTATAAAAATGCAGTGTTTGATTTCCATTTATTTCTCATCTTAATGATTTTTGGGTCATTTGGAAAATATAATATTTTTATTCCAACATTCTAAAATGGAACCTCTGTAACAGAAAGTTACACAACAATCTATGCTAATTGGAAATGTTCAGATACATTTCCCATGCAATAAGAATGGAATACACACAAAATATGTAATGTATCACACTAATGTAAACACTTCTTACCTCGTCTCATCTATGTACACGGATTCTAACACTGATGCTGCATATTCCAAGTTATTCTTTAAATCTTCTTTGGATAAATCATCTTTTTCTAACCTCCGCACAAGTTGCCGTAATCTGACGCAAACAAGAAGAATGATAATTACTATAACAACACTACTACGAACAATATTCCGTTAACAAACTTTAGCAAGTACCTAACAATGGCAATGTAAAAATAGTTGAAAAAACAGTTAATACAACTTTATATTCACTCCCACTGTAGTCACTAATTATTCTGCGAGGTATTTGCACTACAAACTCACTTATAACAGATAAACCAGTGGTTGATAGTCGGAGCAATTATTTATTACATCACTGTATATAATAGGAACATTTTTATCATAAGTGTTTTCTAGCCTGGCTGGGTAGGGAATGAGTATTGCATATTTTAACGATTTCCCTCAGTAAAACAGAAAGCATTAACATTATACAGAATCTGGTGCACAAAAAAAAAAAAAATTAAATTAAAAACACTAAACATTTTTTTAGAGCAAGTACTGCATGACAAGCGCAAAACATAGATGTGTAATTTACATTATCCTGATCAGGGACAGATTAAAGAAAATGACTGCACAAAATATTTGACTAACAGAAAGATTAAACTTGAAGATTGTGCAAATGTTGCCGAAGTAAAGCTTGTATTTTTTGCCACAGTCAGCAATATTGCAGCCAAATGACAAGATTGGGACCATCAGATCAAGATCAAGGCTGTCAGGGTACAATCCACAATCAGGTACCAATCATATAAACGTCAAAATGTGTGAAACAAACAATCATTAGAATAACTTTCAAAAAGTGGACCCTATGAGTTAATTGTTTAATTCATTTAGTGTGTTTTGATCATCATATGTACATATTTCTACTTCAGAGTAACATTGCACAAGGGACATAACTCTATCCAGCTGTAGAAGAGCACAATGCAGAGTTCCTTCCCCTACCTGACTGAACATGCATGGGAGGCTTCAGGAGCATCAACTCCAGGGAGTTTGTCCACGCCAACATCGACGGAGGCGTAGGACTCCACACTGTCGATGCTGATGCTGGAAGCCCGGCTGCTGCTACTCCCCGTCTTCCGGGAGTTGGTTCTCCGTAACACTGTGAGAGATCCCGTTCCTGGAATACACAACATGGTGAGTGAGTGAGTGAGTGAGTGAGTGAGTGAGTGGTGAGTGATATCATGGCATGTGAGTGAGTGAGTGGTGATCAGCAACTCAAACAAAGTGACTGGGTATCAGCAACTCAAACAAACTAAAAGTAGGACACAGAAGAGTGAGTTTGGTTTTATGCCCCTTTTAGCAATATTCCAGCAATATCACGGCAAAGACACCAAAAATGAGCTTCACACATTGTACCCATGTGGGGAATCGAACCTTGGTCTTTGATGTGATCAGCGAACGCTTTAACCACAAGGCTACCCCACATCCCTACCCTGGATGTGTGTGGATCAGTTTGTTTTTGTCTTTTTTGTTGTGTATTGTTCTATTCTTGAAAAAATACGACTGGCGGATCCGTAAAACAAGAAATAATATTGGTCTGGCCTGAACAAGAATACAGCAAAGGCTATTAATATAATCATTGGACCCCACAACCAGAGAAGTTTCAGTTTGTTTTTGTCATTTTGTTGACAGGTATCCCATACAAAGATCATACACAATTATTTTAAACAACCAATCCCAAGTATTTACAAACTACTTTCATTTGTTCCATGAAATTGTTTTTTTCTGTATGGCCTCAAGCATGTCTTTCTCTGTATTTGATGAGTAATCCTTAAACAAACTGTAGTTTAGGATAAACAGTAACATATGATCAAACTCAAGCTAAAGGTACCACATAAAACATGGGATTTGACACACTTCAATCACTTGACCACATTATAGTTTTTTTGAAGTTCCAAAGCTATTTGAACAGAATTACCAAACAGGAACGATTCAATCCGACAAAGTGGGCTATTGAAATTCACAAAAGTAGGAATTTTCTATAGATTACTCATGAAGAAACTGCTTAAAATAACATCCCGATCATAACTGATTCATGTATAAATAAACCAAAATGACAAGCAGAAATTGACTTGGCCATTGATGGCGGACATGGTGTCACTTAATTAACCCCTTGGAATCGTCTATTGTAAAGATACATAAATTTATGAATATGGGAGATATGCTTGCAATGAACGCAGCCGAAATGACGTGCAATCAATGCATATGGATCATATTCTTATTTCCTGGTGCCCTACATCACAATATTTCCTACTCTAGAGTGATTTACGCGAACTCATGTGTGACGTCAAGAGACTTAGCCAGATGGCGTTTGCAATAAACTTGATTTATAAACGTAGCAAGGAGTTTGCAATTACAAGCTCAGGTAATTTGGTAACACTCAAGTTTAAATCAATTGAATGGCATTTCTCTGGAATACGTCCTAATTATGGTCTCATTGCATGCATTGACTTGTTCATGTCTAAGTGTTCCGATCACTGTTGGTTGATGTTTAGATTAAGGAAAGCGGATTGCACATAGTCTTACCAAGATTGCTGGCATAATGAAGAGTCTGTCAGAAATAGATGAGGGAAGGTTCATAATTTATGCCTAGGAGGGGTGATGATGATTTTATAAGAAGCATGTACAATGTGAATGACCACCCTCAAATTTATGTTCAAAGAAAGTGACCCCTGTATGTCAGTTACAAAATCAATGACACCTTCCCCACTACATGTGTACAAAACTGATGACCCCCCTACCTCCCCAGAACAAAATGGGTGACCCCCTTAAAATCAGCATCATCTCCCCAGACATAATTTATGATTGGTCCCTAAGCTTTATGACTATGTTCTTGATTTAAGAACATGGTGGACACAAAATACATTGAAGTTACTTCTTATGAATATACAAGTAAGGTTTTGAATCACGATCAGCAGATCCCTCCATGGATGAGGCACACCAAACTGGGTGGCAATATGTATCGGGATATATTGAGCAGTGAAGTGACACTGATGGCGCATGTAGGTCCTATGTTATAGTTCTGTAAAGGCCAGACCAATTTTATTTCTTGTTTTAAGGAATTTTGTCTTCAGAAAATCTAAAGGCAGGAGGAAAAAAAAATAAACATAAAATCACCAGTCAAAGTAATATTACTTCAAAACACTCAAACTATGTTACTTTTGGCAATTTATGAAGTGTATATCGAGCAAAAAACAATCTAAAAACAAAATTCCATGTATGTTTACATTTTTGGCCAATAAAAACATTAGGATTTATTTTTTGAGCGTGGAAAATAATTTTTTAAATTTTTTTCTTATTCTTGAAAAAATACGACAGGCAGATCCATAAAACAAAAACTAAAATTGGTCTGGCCTAACAGCAATCTCAAATTAGGTTGGGTTGTTGGAGATTCTTTCTTTCATTCTCATACAATTTATAATATGTAAAGTAGGCTGTTTTGTGAATGCATTATAAAGGGAAACATTAGTTGTGAATAAAAGTCTGTGTAGGTTTTAACATAAACCATAGAGATAATCACAATTCTTGTTATATGTTTTTTACCCAATATACTGGTACTCTATTGCAATATGTGAATGAGTGAATGAGTATAGTTTTACGCCACTTTTAGCAATATTCCAGCAATATCATGGCGGGGGACACCAGAAATATGCTTCACACATTGTACCCATGTGGGGAATTGAACCTGGGTCTTCAGCATTACGAGCCAATGCTTCAACCACTAGGCTACCCCACCACCCCTATTGCAATATGTATTGCTTGCATGTCGCGGTATACTGGTATCCTGGTAATACGGTGCAGCCCCGACCAGTATGCAACACGTGGCATCTTTCGCCATTGAGCCACTTGTGTCCTCCATGAGAAGATGTGAGTGAGTGAGTTTAGTTTTATGCCGCACTCAGCAATATTCCAGCGATATGGCGGCAGTCTGTAAATAATCGAGTCTGGACCAGACAATCCAGTGATCAACAGCATGAGCATCGATCTGCGCAATTGGGAACCGATGACATGTGTCAACCAAGTCAGCGAGCCTGACCACCCGATCCTTGTTAGTCACCTCTTTTGACAAGCATAGTCACCTTTTGTGGCAAGCATGGGTTGCTGAAGACCTGATCTACCCCCGGGTCTTCACAGGTCTCCATGAGAAGAAAGATGTAGTGACTTACGTGAAAGCTGCCCATTCCTGGCTGTGGCTGTTGCTGCTGCTGCTGTGGCAGCCGCTGACGATGACCCCACACTGCTGTCATCTTTTGACTTGTCAGGTGGGTTTGCCACTGAAAACCACAACATGTCAATGTCATCGGATGTCATTGGAACATGAAAGCATGTAAAAATCTTCTTCATCCTAAAGCAAATGTTTCAAGATAAGAAAAAATGAATGCACCAAGATTTAATTCTCTCGACTAATAGATCTAACGACCATGGCTAAACCAATTTGGAAACCCTACGACATCAAGGCAGCTTGCGAAGAAGCCATAACTTCCATATATCTTTCTTAATGACTTCCTCGAACTATATTCAATTATATGATGAAACATTTGTGACGCAGGTCGAATTAAGCTCCATTAACAACGAGAGACAACAAAAAACTCATGCACCTTTAATATTTTTTAAACTTCAGATCCCTTTTTAAGCCACTTAAGCCAAAAACAGCATGGCGACCAGTTTCTGCAGCGAGTATTTCCCCAATGAGAGCCTGTCGACAGTATGGTCATAACGAAGTCGTGAAACACCACCGAAACTTCAATGCATTTTAAAACAGCAGTGATTTGCCTCTCTCCACTAGCCAGGAACCTTCCTGTGATTGCTCGTCTACACATATTACAATCGCTCTGTTGCATTCCGATTTGCTTTGGCAATTTGTGTGGCATTGTGGAGCTGGATAGAACGTTGGGTGTGGAGGCCGGCCTTCACGGAGCCAGGGTGCTTAAATCCTCTCTTTAAACAAGGATCTAGGAGAGCTGGTCATAGTTGTAATTTTCTATCAATTTTGTCTGAAAGTTGTCACAGATCAAAGAGGGTGTTCAGACATAGGCCTAAAACTGCAGTGTGAACAAAGCAGCAAATCCTCCGTGCATCTAAACTTGTCCATTAGGGCCAAGAAGGAGCCAGTACAAGGTGGTGACAACCAGGAATATCCCTTTCAGTTAGAATACTGACTGGATCACGTGTATTGCAGCGATCTTTCCCTTTAAGTTTTCCCAATATCTTTGGTTACCCAGGTCTGTGAGTCAGTGAGTCAGTGAGGGAGTGAGTGAGTGAGTGAGTGGGGTGAGTGAGTGTTTGAGTGAGTGAGTGAGTGAGTGAGGGAGTGAGTCAGTGAGGAGTGAGTGAGTCAGTCAGTCAGTGAATGAGAGTGAGTGAAAGGGTGGGTGGGGTTTGGTAGAGTGAGTGAGTGTGTGAGTGAGTGACAGATGAATTACGGATATGTGGGAAGGTAAATGAGAAACTGAAAGAGTTCAGCCTGGTCAAGTATAAGTGTCAGATAGACAAGAAAGTGATAGCACGAGCATTGACCTCTGAAATCTATACAACAAAACACACAGCACAGATCCATAAAGTCACAGTATGAAGATACACATGGGTGTTAAGCAAACTTAGAGGGTCAAAACACCTTAAAACAGGTGTTGTAAACATAAAAGATTAACATAGAAATGTTCTTAAAAATCTACCTCGCACATGCTAAAATTTTACTGGGCCTTGTAAAGGAGCTAAATCTTGTAAAAGTCATATGTATAATAATAACTGTCTCAATGAAAGAACAATAGCAAGCATTTACAGTTTGCTATTTCAAAACAAAAATTACATTGAATGCAAGAAGAATGAACTGCCCCCATGTTTCCAAAACAGACAGTATCCCAATTGCGTAGATCAATGTTCATGCTGTTGATCACTGGGTTGTCTGGTCCAGACTCAATTATTTACAGACCACCGCCATGTAACTGGAATATTGCTGAGTGCGGCATAAAACTAAACTCACTCACTGGCTCACTCCCAAAACAGTGACCAGCATTCACATATGGAAGATTTTGAGTTTTAGATTTGGATTTGACACATATATTTGACTAAATTTGATGTAAAAGCCTGTCCAAGGTGTCTTTACTGACTAAGCTGAAAATATACACACTAAAGACCAAACATTTGACCGACTACTGACTACCCCCATCTGGACCCTCAAGTGTCATTGTTCCCAATATCATATGAAAATACCTGCGACAAAATGAACAAAAATAACAGTGAAGATACATGGTCCTAATAATAAGTTTTTTATGTGTTCTGGTTCTCTTACATATGCATGTTATTCATATAAGGCAACTAGTTTGACCATCCAATCACCATTCTAATTTACCCGTCGTCTGAATCTGTTGGTCATCCGCAGATCCATCATTTAAACAGCATAACATCACATTTAATATCAGACTATACAAGGGAACAATCTTTTGCCTCAGAAGGTTTGACGAGCATTCGTTGACTGACTTATGACAAATCAATCACATGTCTTCACTCCAAGATGACAACGGTCTTTTATTCCAATTAAGAAACAAATTACAACCAACACCTCTTTATGCCTTCAATTCAAACCTAAGCTGACAATTTCGTTATTGCATAATGATCAGACGACAGACAGATCGTATATGGATTCCGGGATCTGTTCACAGAAATTAGGCTCAGCGAGCAGTCGGAACCTATTCATAATGCATTGTGTCTAAATGCCGTGATTGCTACAATCAGATACATTACCCCATGTTTAATCAAGCAGGGGGGGCTGCAACTTCATCTCAAACATCCACCCACACAGACTTGCATGTTGAAACCACTTTCAAGAATGACAGGAAATGTTCTCACTAAGTAAAGACATCAGATTCGACAGATCAAAGCAATGCATTTTTCCTTCTCACAGATCCAGGTCTAAAAACAGATTGAACCTGTCACTGTTTTTCTATAGGAAAGGGCACTACATCATAATTTCTCTAACTGTAAAAATTCAGAGTGCTTCTGACACATTTTTGTTTCCTCTATAGCTTGATAATTGGGTTTTTGACTTTAAAAACATTCTTTTTCATAAGCTGATAGATGACCAAGTGTAAACAAAAAACAATCTTGTTTCCTGTGGTGAAGAGTTTCAAAACCATCTGATATCCGTTTTGTTTGGCCCATAAAATACTGAAACCCTAGATACTGTGACACGAGTTCTGTTACCATGGCTACTGTATCAGAGGATATAAACTGATACTAACATCAGTGCTCTTGTGATTGCAGATATTTTTCACAATCTGTAGTATCCATACAGATGTACAGACATAAGCCATAGCTTCCACACAGATGTACACACACACAAAACCTGTAGCTTCCACACAGATGTACACACACACATACACACAGACTGTAACTTCCACACAGATGTACACACACACAAACTGTAACTTCCACACAGATGTACACACACACAAACTGTTAGCTTCCACACAGATGTACACACACACACAAACTGTAACTTCCACACAGATGTACACACACACAAACTGTAGATTCCACACAGATGTACACACACACTGTTGCATCCACACAGATTCACACACACAATCTGTAGCTTCCACACAGATGTACACACACAAACTGTTGCATCCACACAGATTCACACATACAAACTGTAGATTCCACACAGATGTACACACACAAACTGTTGCATCCACACAGATTCACACACACAATCTGTAGCTTCCCACACAAATTTACACACACAATCTGTAGCATCCACACAGATTTACACACACAACCTGTAGCATCCACACATATTTACACACACAAACTGTTGGATGCACACAGATTCACACACACACACAAACTGTTGCATCCACACAGATTTACAAGCACAATCTGTAGCATCCACACAGAATCTGTAGTATGCATTCAAATGTACACACAGATGCACACATAATGTGACAACAACACAAAAACCAGAAATGCATGCACACAGACATACAAACAGGACAATAACACATGCTCTGCTCCGATGAGGACATGCAAATTTTTCGCTGTAAGTCAATGTGGGACTTCATTCCAAGAATTAATCAAGCTAACAAGTGAAGACGCAATCTCATCATGCTCTGGGCAACATAAAGCTGTTATCTGGGCGACTGCTGTACAAAGCTCGAACGTGTCCACTCTAAGTTTTAAGCACGCCACTTTGAGCTCTAAGCTCATTCAGTGATTGTCTATTTTCCTTGGCTAGCTGCAAGGTTTCCCTTAAGAACACAGATCAGTTCAGGGAAGATAATATTGCAGTGTGTCTGATTAAATTCCTCATCCCCCATCGTTAGTTACCCTAAATAAGACCGGGACATCTAAACAAATCATCAAAGTCCGTCTTGGGCACAAGCAGAATCTAGGCTTCATCTCCAGAAAACTAAGTCCTAACTAACTAAATCTCCTTTCAAATAGATTGTACCACCATTGACGCTGACAGAGCGATCTCTCTTACCTATTAGCTCTTAAAAGCACTATAACAATATGCATGTTTTCACTATAACAAATATGCATGTGTAAGGTGCATTTTCAACCAAAAGAGTTGTCATTATATTTGCAAAATGAATATTTTAAATAAGACGAGTTTTAATTATGCAACATATAATCATTCAAAAATTCACTTTTCGGTTTGGAGACAAAATAAGATAAATTTGAGTTATCTTGAAAGATGTCAATTTACACACCACCGACAAAAAAAGACAAAAATTAATTTGAAATAATTATCTTAATTCATGAACATAAACAAAATATAAACACAAGATCACATTCTCCAGTGAGGTGAAACATAAACATTGGCCATTACACTGGGTATAATTAATGATTAGTTAGTCATACCTTCAGCAGCACCAGCCACGCACACAAACGTAAATGCCATACTGTTGTCGTGATTTGATAACTTTACACAAATATTGTTTCAGCGTCTGGCTGGGGCTCAAGTCTGATTGATAACAGACAGGATAATCTGTTATCACATGAAGATGAAAATGACAGATCAAACCCCAAGGATCAATAAGTCGAGATAACGAATCAACCACGGTGTTTTTTTCCAATGGTTATGATCAAAAGCATGGGTTCTAATCATAAACAGTTGCGTTTGGTTTCCATGACAATGTCTGTTGCCATTAATCAGACGAAGTACCCCATGTTTGATCAAAATAATGGAGACCATTCTGGTCCTAATTATGGTTGATTTATTCTAATCAAATATCCAAAGCTGCTGTTATAATTGCCAAACCTGCTTCTGTTT